ATGTGGGATTTGGGGTTCAATGTGGGATTTTGGCCTCGTTTTTGGGGTCACGGCCTGGCGGGGAAACCCCATTTGTTTCAAGCGCAGCGGGGATGGGGACACAGCAGCATCTCCAGGAAGGTCGATGGGACATCGCCACCATAAAACAACGTTATGCCTCCCATTTCCACCCCGAGATGAACGATAAAGGGTCCATTCCCACTCCAAAGCCTGCTAACGCCTCCAATCCTCCCCACAGCCCTGGCAGTGCCGTTCGGGGTCCCTCCCCCCCAACCTTTGTTGGTTTTGGTTTTTTTTCCTCCCCCCCCCCCCCCCCCCCACTTTCCTTTTTCACTTTGAAACTGGAAATGCCCCCGGAGCTACAAACAATGCACAAATAAAGCAAAATCATATTTTAGTCAAAATAGGCAGACGGCGCTCGCAGCCAACTTTCAAATTAGCATTTTGAGGGCAAATATGCAGCCAATTTGAGATAATGAGGGCTGATTATTCAATCCAATGAATGTTAAATAGGCGGCGAGGGCGCCCGCGCCTTATCTCCCCCGCTTCCCATTTCTTTTATTGTGTTCCATTTTTAATCGTTTCAACATTTGAACTCTTGATTTGTCTTAGCTCCAACCTCCTCGCCACCCCCTCCCCCTCCAGGGGGGCAGCAGCAGCAGCCGCTCTGCAGATGGGTTTTGCAGGAGGGAAAGCTTTTGCAGAGCCCCAAAGTGGGGGCACATTGCAGCTGCCCCCACAACGTCACCCCAGTCGCTCTGCCCCATAGGACTGCGATGGCACTGCGCCGGATCAGTGCAATTTCTTGTCCTCTATACAAATGCAATTCCTTCGCCTCACCTACGTGTGATTTCTTTGCCCTGAGCACAATTTCTCTGCACTCACTTGAGTGCAGTTGCTTTGCCCCTACGTAAATGCCATCGCATCGCCCCGCATGAACGCCATTGCTTTGCCCTGTGATGAGGGATGTCCCCCTCACACCGGGCACCTCGGTGTCCCCACGGGATGAATGACACCACAGCGGGTGGCACCCAGCACCCCGTCCTTCCAACGACTTTCCCAGCCCAACGGGACGCCGTGACGAGAACGAATCCAGGGGTAATTAAAAACCTAAACCACCTAAAGATGCGAAAGCGGAAGGAAACGGGCGATGCCAGAGGTGGGGACGGAGCGAAGGGAAAGATAATCAGAGGGAAAAGGAGGGGAAAGAAAGCAATCAGAGCCGGGGAGCGGGGAGGCAGATGCTGCGCAGGGATAAGCAGCAGAGCAGCGCAGGGCAGCAGCGACTCGGAGCTATAATTGCATTCATCGCATCGCCGCCGCGATAAGAAATCCCCCGTGTGCCGATGCTGTTTGTTTCCCTGTCAGATGCATATTTATTGGGGATTTGAATAGGGCCAGGAGCTGGAGTAGGTGCAAAGGGTTCGCAGCCCCGTGTCCCCGCCGTGTCCCCATTGTGTCCCCATTGTGCTCCCACCGTGTCCCCAGTGTGTCCTCATCATGTCCCTGCCATGTCCCCAATGTCCACATCGTGTCTCCATTTTGTCCTTACTGTGTCCCCACTGTGTCCAACTGTGTCCCCACTGTGTCCCCATCATGTCTCCATCATGTCCTTATTGTGCCCCCATCACGTCCCCACTGTGTCCCCATCATGTCTCCATTTTGTCCTTACTGTGTCCCCACTGTGTCCCCACTGTGTCCACACTGTGTGCCCGTCACATCCCCACTGTGTCCCCATCATATTTCCATTTTCTCCCCATTGTGTCCCCATCATGGCCCTACTGTATCCCCACTGTGTCCACACTGTGTGCCCATCACATCCCCACTGTGTCCCCACTGTGTCCCCATCATATTTCCATTTTCTCCCCATTGTGCCCCCACCATGGCCCTACTGTGTCCCCGCTGTGTCCACACTGTGTGCCCATCACATCCCCATTGTGTCCCTACTGTGTCCCCACTGTGTTCCCATCATGTCTCCATTGTGTCCTTATTGTGTCCCCATCATGTCCCCATTGTGTCCCCACTGTGTTCCCATCATATTTCCATTTTCTCCCCATTGTGTCCCCACCATGTCCCTACTGTGTGCCCATCACATCCCCTTTGTGTCCCCACTGTGTCCCCACTGTGTGCCCATCACATCCCCTTTGTGTCCCCACTGTGTCCCCATCATGTCTCCATTGTGTCCTTATTGTGACCCCATTTTGTCCCCACTGTGTCCCCATCAGATTTCCATTTTCTCCCCATTGTGTCCCCATCATGGCTCTACTGTGTCCCCACTGTGTCCCCATCATGTCTCCATTGTGTCCTTATTGTGTCCTCATCATGTCCCCACTGTGTGCCCATCACATCCCCATTGTGTCCCCACTGTGTCCCAATTGTGTCCCCATCATATTTCCATTTTCTTCCCATTGTGTCCCCCTCACATCTTCATTGTGTCCCCACTGTGTCCCCATCATGTCTCCATTGTCTCCCCACTGTGTCCCCATCACGTCCCCACTGTGTCCCCATCATGTCCCTTCCATGTCCCCACCATGTCTCCACAGTGTTCTCATTGTGTCCCCACCATGGCCCCACCGTGTCACTACCATGTCCCACACTGTGTTCCCATCATGTCCCCATTGTGTCCTCACCATGTTCCCACCTTTTTCACATTATTTCCTTATTGTGTCCCCACCATGGCCCCACCATGTCACTCCTGTGTTCCTGTCATGTCCCCATCATGTCCCCATTGTGTCCACACTGTGTCCCCACCATGACCCCATCATTTCCCTACCATGTCCCACCACGTCCCCACTGTATTCCCATCATGTCCCCACTGTGTCTGTATTGTGTCACCACCCCACTGTTTTCTCCGTGTCCCCACCACATCCCCATCACATCCCAATTATGTCCCAATTGTGTCCCCATCGTGTCCCTATTCTGTTCCCATCGTGTCCACACTGTTTTCTCCCTGTGTCCCCACCATGTCCCCATCACATCCCAATTGTGTCCCCATTGTGTCCCCACTGTTTTCTCCCCATCACGTCCCCATCACATCCCAATTGTGTCCCAATTGTGTCCCCATTGTGTCCCCACTGTTTTCTCCCTGTGTCCCCACCACATCCCCACCACGTCCCCTTCACATCCCTATTGTGTCCCAATTGTGTCCCTATCATGTCCTCATCACATCCCAATTGTGTCCCCACTGTGTCCCCATTGTGTCCCTATTATATCCTCACTGGTTTTTCCCTCTGTCCCCACCACATCCCCACCATGTCCCCATCACATCCCTATTGTGTCCCTATTATGTTCCCACCATGTCCCCATTGCATCCCCACAGTTTTCTCCCCATGTCCCCACTACATCCCTATCACATTCCAATTATGTCCCCATCATATCCCTACTGTGTCCCCACCACACCCCAAATGTGTTCCCATTGTGTCTGCACTGTTTTCTCCCTGTGTCCTCACCACATCTCCACCATGTCCCCATCACATCCCAATTGTGTCCCCATCATGTCCCTATTACATCCCCACTGTGTCCCCACTGTTTTCCCCCCGTGCCCCCACCACATCCCCATCACATCCCAATTATGTCCCCCTCGTGTCCCCATTGTATTCCCTCTGTGTTCCCCCTGTGCCCCCACCACATCCCCATCACATCCCTGCCATGTCCCACTCTCTCCACACAGTGTCCCCATTGATCCCCTTGTGGGTTCCCACCCCGCCCCGCCGTGTCCCCGCCGTGTCCCCGCGGTGGAGCAGAACGCCGATGGTGCCGATAGAGCAGCACCGCAGCCCCGCTGCGCTGACCCGTGGCCCTGCCCTTATCTCAATGGCATCAGCACGCTGTGATCGCTGTGTGATAGCACCCAAAGGGCCCCGAGGAGCAACGTTTGGCTGTGACCTTGCTGCAGGGGTCGGGGAACTTATTAGAGACGTTGGGGAGGTTTTTAATTGCTTATTAGGAGCCGGTCCGGGTGCATTGGGCTGCCTGCCCTGGCTGCTGCGTGGGAAATGAGTTTAAAGCCAAGGGAAGCTGTGCAGAGACACACGCACATACGTGCACACATAGCAAGCGTGGGCACACGTGCACATGGACACAGCCACGTGCGTGCACGTATATTCACACACCTCCATGTGCACACACAGTGCACACCCTGCAGCACAGCCCCAGCACAGCAAACATCACCCCCAGGTGCTTTGCCCACATGCTGACTGCACCGTGGTGCCCATTAGGTTGCAGTGGGAGCGCTGCTGTGCCCCCCCTCATCCCACAGCACTCTGCAGTGCAAACCCCATGCAGCTGGAATCTTTTGCACGGCATGGCGCACGCACAGCACGGTGCAGGACAGCGTGGTGCTTGCACAGCTTGGTGAACAAACAGGTGCACGCACAACCTGACGCAGCACAGCACGGTGCACAAAGAGATGCAAACGCACCGTTCTGCGCACAGCACAGCGCGTGCATAGCACACTGCAGAGCAGCCTGGTGCACGTATAGCAGGCGCACGCACAGCACGGGGTGCCCGCAGCACGGTGCAGAGCCTCGTGCATGCACAGCGTGATGCACGCACAGCCCCGTGCACATCACACTGCATTCACAGCACGGGTGCACGTGCAGCACGATGCAACAGAACGCAGCGCAGGACAGCTGGCTGCTTGCAAAGCCCGGCGCGTTCCTTCACAGCTCTGCGCAGTGCAGCGGGCAGCGTGCAGAGCGGAGGGGGCGTGGCTTTGGAGGAGAGGGCGTGGCTTTCTAGTCGAGGGGGCGTGGCTTACGCAAAGGGACGTCGTTTAGAATGACGGCAAATGGGGACGTGGATTAAGAGGAGGCGTGGCTTATAGCAAGGGGGAGTGGCTTGTTTACACTGGGGGCGTGGCTTATGGGGGGCTTTTAGAACGAGGCCGCATGGCTTCGGCCATGAAGGGCGCGGGGTTCGGAGGGCCGTTTTGGTGGGCGTGGCTTTATGGGCGTGGCCTGCCGCGGGGCGGGGCGGGGCGGGACGTGCGGCGGTCGCGTTGCGGCCCGGCTGCGGCAGCGCAGCGGAGCGGAGCGGTGCGGATTTGAAGCTCGGCCCGGTCCGGCCGCTCTCTGTCCCTTCCCAGCCATGGCGCTGCTCCGCGCCGCCGCGCTGCCCGCCGACGGCCCCCCGGCTTGGCTGCCCACCCACGTGCAGGTGACGGTGGTCCGGGCCCGGGGGCTGCGCTGTAAGGGCGGCGGCGGCGGTGGGGGCAAAGCGGGCAGCAGCGACGCGTATACCATCATCCAGCTGGGCCGAGAGAAGTACTGCACTTCGGTGGCCGAGAAAAGCGGCGGCTGCCCCGAATGGAAGGAGGAATGCGCCTTCGAGCTGCCGCCCACCGAGCCCGGGGCTGAGGCCGCGTTGCTGCTCACCGTTATGCACCGCGCCCTGGTGGGCATGGACCGCTTTCTGGGCATGGCCCGGGTACCGCTGCGGGCTGCGGGGCTGCAGGGCAGGGCGGCCGAGGAGAGGTGAGCGGGGCGGAGCGGCTCCGTGAGCCGTAAAGGGGCTCCGTGGGCCCCCGAGAGGGTGTCTGGGGGAGGGGGGGGTCTGTGTGAGGCTGTCACGGGGAATTGGGGGTCGTGGAGTTATTGTGTGCCTCGGGATGTGGGGTCTGTCGGGCTGTCATTGGGAATAGGGTGTCATTGGGTCTGTGTGGATCACGAGAAGGGGTTGGAGGCATTGAGGATCCTGTGGTTCTATGATGTTCTATAGGATTCCGTGCTCTGGGAAGGTGTTTGTGTGAGATGGGGTGTCACAGGGTCCGTTCATTGGATATCACAGGGAATGGGACGTAATGGAGCCCTTATGTGGCTCTGGAAGGATATGGGGTGTCGTGGGGTCTGCGTGGGCCCTCATAAAGATGTCATAGGAAACAGGGGTGTCTTCATACCCCAAGGAGGGGATTGCAGGAGGTGGGCTGTCATGGGATTCACCTGGGCCCAGAAAAGGGCACTTGTAGGAGGTGGGGTGTCACAGGCTCCATGCGTGGTCCCTGAAGGGTGTCACAGGGAATATGGCACCGTGAGGTCCTTTTCTGCCCCAAAAAAGGAGATGAGGTGTTGTGGGGTTCGTGTGGGCCCTTGTAAGGCTGTCAGAGAGGATAAGATGTCATGAGGTCTCTTTGTGCACCAAGAGGGGAACTGTAGGAGATGGGTTGTTATTGAGTCTATGTATGGCCCCAGAAGGGTGTCGCAAAGAGTAGGGTTCCATGGGGCCTCATTGTGCCCCAAAAAGGCATTTGTAGGATATAGGGTGTCATGGGGGCCATAGAGCCCCAGTGGGTGTCATAGGGAATAGGATGTCACTGGGTCTGTGTGAGATCTCTTCGTGCTTCCAGGAAGGGAGTTGCAAAAGATTGAGTGTCATTGGGTCCATTTGGGCTCCTGGAAGGGAGATGAGGGGTCACAGGATCCATGCATGGCTTCACAAGGAATAGGACATCACAGAGTCCTTGCGTGCCCCAAAAAGGAGATGGGTGTCACAGGGTTCTTTGATGTGGGGCCCTCCTAAGGCTGTCATGAAGTCCATGTGTGTCCCATGAGGGGGGCTGCAAAAGGTGGAGGTCTTAGAGGGTCCATGCATGGTCCCAGAAGTGTATCGCAGGGAATGGGGCATCGTGGGGCCCTTGTGTGCCCCAATAAGAGTGTCACAGAGAACAAGGCATCATGGGGACCCTCTGTACCCCAAAAAAGGCCCCGTGGGCTCTGTCCCCCCGTAATGCTGTGCCATGGGTTTGTGGATTGCGTGCTTTCCCCTGACTTTTTCCCATCTGCAACCCACTCTTCCCAGCCCCAAAATGGGAATTGAGGGGACAGCCCTGGGGGCTGCCACATGGCTGTTCCCCCCGGCATTAATTTTGCTTTGATTTCTATTAACCCTGGCTGGAAAACGAGCTCCAGATCTTCAGTTCTGCCCTAATGCAGAGCAGCACCGTGGCTCCCTGCAGCCAGGCTGTGCGTGGAGAGTGGCTGCAGGGTTTTGGGGTGCGAGGAGCTCGCAGGCTGCGTCCCACGTTGGCACAGCTGGGATTTGGGCAGATATCCCCAAAAATGGGCCGCTTGTCAATGCTGCAGCTTTGGGGCTGCAGTGCTTCTGGGTTTGGGTGCTAAGGGGGGGTCTTTCTTGCACCCCTTTGTTTGCAGGGCCCCGTCTGCATCCCTTGCTTGGAGGCACAAAGCTGCTGCCAGCTTGAACGCAGCCCAGAGGAGAGGAGGAAAAAAAATAATACAAAAATAGAAAGCAACAAAGCAGGCCTTGGTTGTCAGCGTGGTGACCTTGCTCTCGTTTCACTGCTGATTTTTGTTGGGTGGAAACTTTGTCAGCAGTGCTTTTTCTTCGTGTTTTCAGCTCAGCGGAAAATGCGCCGTCCAACTTGGCCCCGTGTCACGGAGTGAGGCTGGGTGCGTCTGGCAGCATTTATCAGCTGAATGGCAACATGTTTGTCTGGGAGGGGAGAAGTCAGCTCTTGGTTTTGCCTAAGAGGGCTCTCGTGGCCTTTTTGGGTGTCTCCTGGCCTTTTTTGGTATCCTTGGGCTTAACCCAAGCTAGAAAGCTTCGGGTTGGCAATGCGGCAGCAGCCGTGACTTGCAGTGCTTTTATTTTTAAGTCGTGGCTTTAACCCTGTTGAGCTTTTCCTGCGTTGGCTGTGATGGTGTGGATTTTTGGCTGGTGGGTGCCTGCAGGTTGGGATGCTCTCCGAGGGGAGTAGTTGGCTTTTATCATTTGTATCCGTGTTTTGGACAAACAGGTCCCCTCCAGCCCTTTCTCTGTGCCTGGGTGGCACCCACCTTTCCTCTGGTTGCCAACATCTTTGGTCAAAGCCATCGAGCCAATGCAGGTTGGACCTTGCTGTGAATTTGGGATGGATTTGGGGTGGTGGAGGAGACCTGCATGGGGTCTGTCACCTCTGTCCGTGGTCCTGTGTGCTGCTCAACAGATGGGGACCTTAAGGCAACCCCACTTGGGGGCAAGGGACAGTCCCCAAATCCACACTGAGGTTCCATCGCAGTCTGTCCATCCCCAGCTGTAGGTCCTGGCCTTGAAGAAGGTCTGGGAGGTGAGAAATGTGAAAGTGGGGTCTTGGGTTGGCTGAGGGTAATGGGATCTGCTCAGGTGTGGCAGGCTGTGATGAAATCCTTATTTTGGTTCTCTGAGGGGTTGCTGCATCTCGGTGCACGGCCGCTTGGCCAACACAGGAAGTGCTGTGCTGTGTTGAAATGCCTCAGGGCGATGGAAGGAGGGGGGTTCGTGCCCCACTGCTTGGGTTGGGCTGCTACCCAGGCTGCCCCTTCTCACCCTGATTGGATTTAGAATCAGGGAAGCATGAAGGCTGGAGAAGGCCTCTAAGATCTCCAAGCCCAACCGCAATCCATCCCACCGTGCCCACTGACCACATCTCTCAGTGCCACATCCCCATGGTTCTGGAACACCTCCAGGGACGGTGACCCTGCCATCTCCCTGGCAAATTCAGGAGCTTCATTGCCCTGTTCTGCTCTGGGCTGGATGTCCTTTGCCCACCTCCATTCCCACGCCCAGCCCTGTTGACCACGTAGCACGTTAGAGCTGCAGGTGCTGGGGTGTGAGCTCTCTTCAAGCTCAGGTTGTGTTTTGTTCTGTTTTGTTTTCTTTCTTTAAAGATATTGATGCAGGTGGAACCCCCAACCTGGGTGAAGACTGGCACGTTGGCTCTGGACTCTTGGTGGCCCTCCCAGGGTCCCTCTGTCCCCTGACAGCCAAAGAACTGCAGGCACAGTCTCCTTCCTCCACTTCGCGCTCATCTGTAGAGCTCTCCCTGCCTCCAGCAGTGGTTTTCCCCTGGCAGCTACAGGAAAAACCCATAGGAGGCCCCAAAAACACCGTACACGTTCTTTGTCACCATCACTGAGTGCTCTGCTGCTGTGGGTTGTGGTCTGTGTACCACTGTTGCATGGGGTTTTCTAGGCAAGAGGAGTCCAAAAAGTCCTCAAATCCTTTCCTGCACATTTCTGCTGAGTGAAAGCAGCTTTAAAACCTTTGCTGGTGTCTCTTGTTGCTCCCCATGTCTTGTTGGGGCCTACAGATACGTGCAAGCAACCATGAGGGTTGGCTTTCTTCATCAGGACTTTGCAGCAGGGATGTGGGGTTGGAGTTTCTTCTCGTCTGAGCTGCTCCCTCAGTTCCTGAGCCTGGGGTGCTTTGAGTTGCTTGGTTCTGCCTGCCAGCCCTTCTCTTTAGAAGAGGATTTACAGCAAATCATGCTCTTCTCTGCACCCATTTCCACCTCCTGCTCAGCCATTGCAGCAGGGAAACCTGCCGAGCAGCCCTGTGCCGTCACCCATGCTTTGCATCCCACCAAGCTGGGCCTCATTTTCTCCTTTTCTTTATGCGTTTGAGGCTGGCAGAACAGGTCAGGGCGTATGGTGATCGTGGGCACAGTGGTTTTTTGGCTCATCTACTGCTTGGATTTGCAAACCGTGGGAGCTCTGGAGCATAAGCAGTTAACGAGGGCTCTGCTGTCTCTTGCTGTTATTCTCTTCATTCATAAATGTTTCATGCTCCATTTTACAGCTCCTTGAATCTCTCTGCCCGTCCTCTTCCTGGGGTCAATGTGACACTGAGGGATGTGGTTAGTGGGCACAGTGGTGAGGGGTTGGTGGTTGGGGTCGGTGATCTTAGAGGTCTTCATCAACCTCTGTGATTCTGATGGGGGGAAAACCTTTCATCTCATCTCTTTAAGCTGATTTGCAGTGAAGCTGCCCGTGGTTGTCCTCATGCCAGCGCTGCTGATAGCTCTTCTCCAGCCCTGGAGCCTGCCTTGCTCCTGTCTTTGTCCCCTCCGTGCCACCCTGCACCCTCAGCCCACCGACACGGGGCTGGAGTGGAAGCTTTGAGGCCTCTTAGAGGACCATTTGTCGGGCTGAATTCAGTCTCCCGAGTTCCCTTCCTTCCTTCAGCCCATGTTTATTTTCAAGCTGTGCTTTGAGCAGCTCACAGGGATCGCCGTGCAGAGCAGCCTGTCCAAAACCAACACCAAAGGAACCGACGCAGCAGAAAAGCTTCCCGGCACCAGTGGGGGAAGCTGCATCAAAACAAGATCAGACTGCGAGCCCAGGGGGCTGTGCTGTTTTCCACCCTTTGCTTCTCTTCTTGATATGGAGCTTCCTCCATGCCTCCGTGCCGTTCCCCTTATGGCCCCAATGGTGTCTTTTTCTGCAGACGTTTGGGGTTTCCCTGGGTTTCCTCTTCCTCACCTGCCCATCCCTGGCTCTCTGTTGAAGTTGTCACTAATTAAAGACCTCTCATTAGCAGGGCTGAGCTTGTTGCAGGGTGATTCAGCAGTAAATGAGAGGCGGAGAGGGTTCTGTCTGTCCCTTGCTCTGAGCTGCAGCTCAGGCAGGAGCGCTCCTGCTTCATTCCAGGTGAACCCCAAGTGCATCCCTAAAGCTGCGCCTTACTGAGTGGCTCCGGCACCCCAGGAAGCTCTGTGCAGCCTGCTGCTAGCAAAGCACCGGGTCCAGTCTGGGAGAGAAACTGGGAAGGCATTGCTGGAGGTACCCAAGGGGATGGCGATGGGTTGGGCGCTTCGGCTCAGCGCGTGGTTTGGTGCCGATGGGGGTGCAGAAGGGACAGGAGACGTGGGGCTCTGTGGGATCTCTTCTCCACAGTCAGCTTTGCCTTTGCATTAAGGGACGGCTCCGTGTCCCGTTGTCTCCTCCGCTCCCATTTCCACCCCAGGGTGTGTTTTCCCTTTGCTCAGCACTTTCTGCCAGCAGATGGGGGGGAAACGCGTGCCCTGCGGGGGCCTCGAGCCACGGCAGCGCTTTGCGCTCCGCTCCCATTGATCTCAGCAGCAGCAGCAGAAAATAGCACTGTGCTCCTGCTGCCTTTTGGCAGCTCTCCTTGTCTCTTGGTGGAGGTGAGTGGGAGTGGAGCAGAGCCTTTGCATAAGGAAGGGGTTTTAGCCGTGCTGGATGGTGGGGACCCATGTGAGCACACAGGCGATGCTGATGGGAGTTTGGTGTTGGCTTGTTTGGCTTCCCGAGAGCCCGGCGGGGCCCCAACTGTTTCCCCTTTGTGGGGCATCTGCGTGGAGTTCTGTTTGTGATTTCCTCTCTCAGCCCTGTGCTGGGCAGGCTGCTGCCTCCTCCCATGCATGCCACGGGAGCTGGGTGTCTCCATAGCCATTGTGGTGCCCCTTTTAATTTTGCATAGAATCATTAAGGTTGGAGAAGGCCTCTGAGATCCCCAACCCATCTCACCGTGCCCGCTGACCCTCAGTGCCACAGCCCCACAGTTCTGGAGCACCTCCAGGGATGGTGACCTCACCACTCCTGGGCAGCTGTGCCACTGCCTGCCTGCTCTTCTGGACAATAAATGTTTCCTGATTCCCAACCTGGCTCTCCCCTTGTGCAAGGATGAAGCCATTCACCTCCTTCCAGGGAGCTCTGATGTCCCCTCTGAGCCTCCTCTTCTCCAGACTGAGCCATCCCAGCTCCCTCCGTGTAGAATCACAGCACGGGTTGGGTTGGGGACCTTAAAGCCCATCCAGTTCCAACCGTGGGCATGGACTCCTCCCATGGACCAGGTGCCCAAAGCCCATCCAGCCTGGCCTTGAGTCCCTCCAGGGATGGAGCATCCACAACTCCTCCTCCCCTCTGCAAATCTTGGAGGTCTTTTCCAACCACGATAATTCTATGAAATCCCTCTTGGGGTGGGCATAAGAGCAAACAGGCCCATCAGCAGCTTGTGTTCTTCTTTAAACCCATCCCGATCCTGCTCTGGGTGCATTTGTAGCTCCACTGGAATTGATTTAAATGAAAATAACAGCAGCCATGAAACGTGGAGAGACATGATCCACCCAAATACTCATCCCATGAACTTTGAGCCCTGCCTAAAAATAGCACATCTCCCTTTTTTGGGGTGCAGTCCTGACCTGTTGGGTGCTGGGAACCCCACGCAGCTCCTTTATCCAGTGCCAGCCTGGGCAGAAGCTGTTCTGGAATGGACACTTTTAGAAGCAGAGCAGGTTTAGAGCTTGTTCATTTGAAGGCATCATTACCGAGCAGCCAAATTAATTGTAATGAGTGCAGTGTGGTAAGTGGGGGATGCTGCGAGCGTGTCCATGTGAGATGGGGTTTTACATCTCCTCATCCTCAGATGCCTTTCCCCATGTTAATTCATCCCAAGCTCTCCCTCTCTATTTTCCCCATGGGGTGATGATGTCAGATACAAAACCTGCTTGTGAGGTTTTCTCCCATTCCAGGAGTCAGCCACAAATCTGCTTTTTCCTTATCTTCCTGCATTCCTGGAACCAGGAAATCTTTGAGGTCCTTTCCAACCCAAACCATTCTCTGATTTTTCAAGCACTGGGGTGCTGAGAATTGTTCCCCATTTGTGAGGGTGGACAGAATGGGCTCAAAGCCTGTGCCCAGCAAAGTCATGGGCACTCCTCAGTGGCTCCTGAATGGGGAATTGAGGACGTGGTTTGGATTTCCTCCTCGCTCCTATGATTTCAGCAGGGTTACACCCGTCTCCAACGCTTCACATTTTCCTCCCCTTGTTTTTTCCTTTCTGGTGACTTTGCTCTTCTAAGCAAACTCTTTTAACAGCCTAAAACACGGCGAGGATTTTTTTAGTGGTTGGGAAATCAGTTGGAAATTATTAGAACACCTCTAAAAATGCCTTCCTGCTCCTGTTGTTGTTGCAGATCCCCAGGCTGGGTGTTGGGGCCATCGGAGCTGTCTCACCCTGCCCTGCTCTGACATTCTGGGTGGAAATCTTGGCTTAGACCAAGCAGGTCTCCATGTTGTTTTGCAGCCTGCTGATAATTCACAGTGCTGTTATCTGGGGCCCCAGGGAGCTCATCCTATCCTGCGAGGGGAAGGGTGCTGGGTCTGCGGTGCGAGGCGGTTATTTCAGGAAGAGATGCTTCCCTTCTGGCCCAGCGTTGTGCTGCCCCATCTGAACCTGTTGCTGTGGGGAATTAGGGAAGTGGAGTGTAGAAATGAGTTCCTCTGGGTGTTTCTTGCTTTCCTTTGCACCATTTGTTTCAGCTAGCAACAGGCAACAGCCCTCTGCCATCCCACAGCACGGCTCTGTGCCCGGGTGTCCTTTGAGTTGTGGATCCCTGGAGGTGCCCAAGGCCATGGATGGGACCATGGGCAGCCTGATCTGGGGGGAGCACCCAGTCCATGGCAGGAGTGGGGCTGTGGGGCTTTGGAGTCCCTTCTCAACCCAACCGTTGTGTGATTCTGTGATCCTCTGCCATCACTGGAATTGTTGTTTTAATGAATACCATGGATTCATTAGGGTTGGAAGTGGCCTCTAAGTTCATCAGGTCCAATCATCAGTCCATCCCCACAGTGCTCACCAGCTATGTCCCTGAGTGCCACTTATCCACACCTCCAGGGATGCTGACTCCTCCAGCTCCCTGAGCAGCCTGTTCCAATGCCTGAGAAGAAATTGTTTCCAATTAACCTGAAATCAAATATTTCCTAATATCCAACTATTGAGCTCCTTTGCTATGACAGTGCAGACTCCCATATGGGAGGCTGGATTCTGACTCACCGGCTCTTAAATATTGCAAAACCCATCACAAAGCACTGATGGAGAGCCCTCTCCTCATCTTTTCTCTGTCTTCAGGTGGCACAAGCTGCACTCCAAGCCCGGCAAGAAGGAGAAGGAACGTGGTGAGATCCAGGTGAGCATCCAGTTCACACGCAACAACCTCACGGCCAGCATGTTCGACCTGTCCATGAAGGACAAACCGCGGTCACCCTTCGGCAAGCTGAAGGACAAGATGAAGGGCAAGAAGAAGTACGACCTGGAGTCGGCCTCTGCCATCATCCCCAGCAGCGTGGGCGCGCTCGACATGGAGGACGATTACGACGTTGGCGGCAAGAAGTCCAAAGTGAAGGGCTTCTTCCTGAAGAACAAGCTGCGCAAGTCGTCCCTAACACAGTCCAACACCTCGCTGGGATCCGACAGCACCGTCTCATCAGCCAGCCTGGGCATGGCCACCAGCGGCCCTGAGGTAACCAGGTCCCCCAGCAGACACAGCAGTCTGTCCACGGAGCGCTCCGGTAAGAGGATGGTGGCGTTAATCCCACCCGTTTGACCTTTCTTTTATTTTGAAGGGGTTGTGGGGGCTCTCTTGCAAATTGCTTCACTGATTGCTTACCTAAGAGGCGGTGTCCTACACGAACCCTCTGAGATCTGCCTGCCTGCCAAGAACGGGGGGAAAACATCCAAGATTTGGCTTGGAATGCCAAGGCTGCGTGCAGACGGCCCCGCTTGGCTGCTTTGCACCACCGTGGGGTGTAGGGGTGACTCGGGGCTGTTTCTCCTCTGCTCTACAAGAGCAGGTGGCAAAGAGCAGCTCCTTGTGCCTAATGAGCCGCCTCCGGCTCGGGAGCAGAGCTGGGGCAGGGGCAGAGCTGGAGCAGGGACTGCTTGCTGGTGATTAAAGCAATCCCAGCTCTTGGCGCTGGCAGAGCGATGATTTGCAAACAAAAAAGGCTCTTGTCAAGAATTAATTCTCGCCGTCCCTTGAAAACAAAATCTATCATTACATGGTTTAATTGGCTGGAGACTGCCAATTCCCGGATGGGGTGGGAGTCCCAGGGTACCGAGTGCTGGGATCTGCTGAAAACTTCATCAGGAGAGAGAAGAGGGAGGAATGGCACGGACCTTCCTTACTGCACCACACAGCAGCCCAAGGGCCTGTCTGTGATTTTCGGCTTCTTTTGGCCAGATCCCTGCGTTCATTGTAGCCCTCAGACCCTGTCTGACAGTGGTTTTCACCTTACTGCTTTCTGGATCTTGAAGAGATGTGCTTGGGGAGATGTACGGCCTTGTAGAGCCACGTGCTTTATGACCTGTGCTTTATCTCCCTCTGAATTTAATTATAGTTGAGTAGAGCCTGGGAGGGGAAAGGCTGGTGTAATTCTGCAGCTCTCATCAGTGTTTTTTAGTAGGTGAAGCTTGCTGTGCCCATTACACAGCTGGCCTCACCCAGCCTTGTGCTTTCTCCCTGCAGTGAAGGATTTTTTACCTTCTCCGAAGCTGACCCACAAGAGAGCATTCAGTGACGACGTCTCCCAGGTCAGCCCTGTCCTGGAGCCAAAAGCAATCCACAGCCTGAAGCCAAAGACAGATCCCGTGTCCCGCTCCTCCCTCTGCATCAATGGGAGCCACGTGTACAGTGATGAGCCCACCCTGAGGAGCCCCGTGCCCACCCCGCAGGGCTCCACTCCGCTGCCTGTCCCCAAAAGGCCAGAGGAGGGTTTTGGCTTCATCCCGATCCACGCTGACCCCCACGAGGTGCCCTGGGGGGCCGGCAGCTTGGAGAGGACGCAGCAAAGGGACGAGATGAGATTCATCCCCTCTCCTCCCAGCTTGGTTTTGCAGGAAGAGCTCAAGGTGTCCACCAAAGCCGTGACCCTCAGCAACCACCTGGGCAGAGCCAGGATGGAAGAAAACAGCCGCCTGGAGAACAAGCCGACCCAGGTGGCAACACCCATGGTCTTCTCTGCAGAGGTGATGAAGGAGAAGCAACCCGAGGAAATGAGGAAAGAAGAGAAGAAAACAAAGGGCGGGCTGTTCCACAAGAGTGATGCGGGGAGCAGGGGCCAGGGGGAGAAAACCGGAGCCTCGCACGGCCCTGCAGCAGTGGGAGATGACAGGAGCAAGGCTGGAGGCTGGTTTGGTTCCAAGGAGCCCAAAGACTCCCCCCAGAAACCCAGGTCAGTGAAATGGGGCTGTGGGCACCCAGCTGTTCTCCAGCTGCCCAGTGCTGCCCAGATGAGATGAGAGCAGGGGAAATGCCTCCTCGACCCTGCCCTTGTGAAAGGGAGGGTGCTTCTTCCTGGATCCTCCCAAACCCGCTGTGCTCATCCATGGCTCGTGAAGGGGAGGTGTATCCCTGTGCAGAGGTGCAGCTCCACGTGCCTTGCTGTGCAGTGGGAATGGGCTGTGCTGCGATCCAGGCGCTCACCAGGAGTGCAGTGCAGGGTTTCATTGCTCAGGGAGAGGGAGAACATGAGGCTGTAAGAGCCAGCAGTCTGCCTGGATCCAGAAGGTTCTTTTGTTGTAGGGATTTCCTCATCTGGGCTGACTTTAACCTAATTTATGAAGCAGAAGGATTTTCATTCAGCCTAAGCCTTCTTTAACGAAGAGGTCTTTCAGGCTTCTTCTACGTAATGGGATCCGTGTGTGAGCTGTGCTGCTTGTAAGGTGCTCAGATGTGAGCCAACAGAGTCACTGCCTTCACCCACAAAGTTTCAGGGTCGTCAGAGTACCCAAGGTTTGCTTAGGCTCTGCTTTTTGGATGCCTCTTTGCAGGCTTCTCCATACAGCTCTTCTATTTTGTAAGGAGAAGCCTGGATGAGCCACCAGCTGTGTGTTTTGGTCCTCAGGATAGGATTTCCTTTGAAACAATACATTCTGGAAGGAAGAGATTCCCAGGGGATCCTTCTGGGATCTTCTTAAGCGTCTGAATGGGCTTTAATTGCACTTGGCAATTTTAAGATGGGGAGTTATGAGCTGAAAGTGTAACGAGGGAGACTGGAATGAGACATTAGGAGAAGTCTCTGATGGGGAGCATTAAGCCCCAGCGCTGTGGGATTTGGTGTAGCAGTGGATGAGCACCTTTGGGCAGCACTGCAGAAGCTGTTGGCTCAGCTGTTGGCCCAGGCTGGGAGGTGGATGCCCATTAGTTCCTCTTTTTGGAACTTTCTTTCTTGGTCATTCAATTCTCTGGGATTCTGTGATTTTTAGGATCTTGTGGATCTTGAGCTCCTTCAAACCAGCGATTCCAACGTCGTTTCTCATTCTGATCATGAAGAACTCGTACTTCTTTTACTTCATTCTCCTCCCTTACACCAGGAGACCTCACAGAGCGATTCAGCTCGAAGCTGTTGAGAGGTTGATTGCATCTCGATGGCTGAAATCTGTATCTCAATAATCAGATGCATATTCCCTCCCAAGCGTGCTGCTGAAAAGCCAGCAGCGCTTATCTGCTTATCATCTGGAGGAGAAGCAAGGCTGCTACTCATTTACCCGCATAACTTCTGGGTCTGAGGATGGATTAACCTTTGCTTTGTAGAGCAGAGCAGCTCCGAATTCGTGGTGGGAGCGGGAGGTGGGTGCTGTCTGCTCTTGGAGACCTGAATGAAAGGCTCTGTGGGGTTTGCTGTGCTTCAGGTGACATGCTTAAGGGTTGTGTGCAAGGAAGAAGCTCAGCAGGCTTATTTGAGGCAAGGCCTGGGGCGAAAACAATCCCTTCCCATATTTTCAGGCTTTCCTACAATGTTATCAGAGCACCGCAGGTCCCGCTGCCTCCGGCGTGAGTTGGGATGATAAAATGGGGCTGCATCTCATGCTTGGCAAGAGGCAAAAAAGAGCCTGTTTGCAGGTTAAAGCCCTTCCAAGGCTAGAGCCTTTTCCTTCTGTCATTGCTTTCAGGGGAGGAAAGCATAAAACTTGCCTGCTGTGGTTGTTGCTGGTCCTGTGTGGCCAGCAGTGAGGCTGAAAACTAAAATCCATCTTGGGAGCCATTAGGGTTGCCCTTGCAAGGGTGAAGAATGGCTCTTATAGCACCTGTGCCTGCTTGTTGCATCTGGTACCCACATCCTACCTCTGCTTCCCACAGAATGGCTTGGGTTGGAAGGGACCTCAAGGATCATGAAGCTCCAACCCCTCTACCACAGGCAGGGCCACCAATCTCCACCTTTAATACCAGACCGGGCTGCCCAGGGCCCCATCCAACCTGCCTTCTTTTTGTTATTGTTATCTGTATGGTTTGGGAGGCAAATCCGTATAAAGTAGGGCCTGTCCCCATCTTGTTCAAGATGAGGGGACAGCTGTGTGCATGACAGAGGTGAGGACAGATGGAAAACAGTGTGGTTCCTTCTAGGATAAGAACCCGACCTGTGCATTTCCTATTGAAAAGCTCCACTTGCACATCACCTCCAGGCCCTTCCAGGCTCCCACCTCATACAAACATGTCCTGGGTTGCAATGCTGATCTCTTCCCAGCCCCAAATCCTGCCATGCTGGAGTCCCCCAGGAAGGACCTTACATAGGATGCCTGAATTATCCATGGAAATCCTGGCCTGATGTCTTCCCATCCACCTCTCCTAGGACGCAGGGGTGGGGTTTTCCATCAGCCCCAGCTCTTCACCTCGGTGTGCTACGGATTCGATCCTCCCACATCAAACAGGCTGTTTCCAGGCGACTTTCCATCAGGCAGTTGCTCAGTCATATTTTTCATTTTTTTATTTTTTTTTCTTTTCCCTTTTGTCGTCGTTCTGCTGGGAGGCTAAAATGCGCCTGTGAAGTGCTGCCAGCAAAATAAATGAGGGCAGGAAGGTACCCGCTATTTATTTTGGCTGGCGGAGCTGCGTGCAGGGATCTGGGAGGAGGAGGAGGAGGAGGAGGGTGAGTCAGCATTTCATTGCAGCAGAGATCCTCCATCCAAGCGGAGGTTTCCCTCTAGAGGAGCACAATGTCCTCAGCCCCTTTGCTGAGCGCTTCCAGCATCCCTGGTGGAATGAAGCAGTGGGGATTTGAGGGGGGTGGGTTTGTGTGGGGGAGAGGGCAGGGGTGCTAAACAGGAGGGGATGCTCACCCCGAGGACAGAGGTTGGGTGGTGACAGTGCGGGTGGTGCTTGGAGAATCAAGGCAGGTGATTAAAATCAAGAAGGACGTGAGCTCTGCTTTTGTGCCTTCAGGCTGGCGCCTTACAGGATGGTGTCACTGCCAACATGGAGGTGCTGCAGTTCTGCTGCACCACAGCCAGAAGCTGCGTCCCTTCTGCTTTGCTTCCTCCAGTTAGGGATGGATGCTCACACCTCTTGTGCCCCCAGGCACAGCACAGCCTGCTTTGCTGGGTGCTGGCATCCGTGTGTAGGCTGGGGGACAGCTGCAGGCTGCCAAATGGGACGTCCCCATGTACCAATGGGCCCAGCGTGGGCTTGGAGAGACTGTGGAGCTCCTCCTCCACCTGTGCAGGTGGGGATCTGGTGGGCTAGGGTAGGAATTTCTCCAGCCAGACTTCTGGAAGCTGTCAAGGTTGTTAGCGGTGAGCGCTCATTAGGAGCCTCAAGCTGATTAATGCTCTGTAGCGACTTCAGTCTAGAAGACAGCAGAGCTGCTTGGATCAGCCGTGGGTTGCTCCTTCTAAACGCTGCTTAAGCAGAATGATGGATGAGGGTTCTTAATCTGGACTGAACCATTAATGTGAGCACGAGCAAGGAGCAAAGAGGAGTAGGTCAGGATTGTGTGCTGCCCAGCGTTGCCTCAAGGTCTTGTTTGTGGCCCCTAAGCTGGGGCAGCAGCTCCCAAAATCACTGTGAGAGTCATAGGAAAGATGGAAAGGGTGGAGGAGTTGGTTTGTTGCGTACCAACAGACAGACAGACGCCCTTCAAATGCTGTCTGAGCACAAAACTGACACAGCTGTAGGTGGATGATGGTGTTTGTTAATGTTTGCCTCAAGGTGGCATTTTTGTGCTTTAAAATACTTTAAAAATCTTTTTGTGACAAAACCATCTGTAATAACAAGCAAAAATAGTCCATGCAGCTTTGCTGATGGCCATGATCTTCTGGTGCTGCTGCCTGTGATCCCTTCCAACTTGGGTCAAGCAGGCTGGAGCCTGAGGGCTGCTCACTCCCTGTACGTGTTGGCAAAGCAATTGCTTCATTTGTTCTGAGTTCAGCTTTGATCAGCCAGCACTGGGCATATCGGTGTCTGCATTTCTCCAAGCTAAAGTGGGGTCTCTCTGAAGCCCTGCCATGAAGTGAAGCATGATCCAGAGCTGGCAGGGGTAAGTCATGGGGAGGAGGTTCAGGGGGAGGGAATGCTGCTGTTGGAGCTGGGTATTAGGGAAGGGGTCTGACCCAGACGGTGGTGGTCACGGCTGGAGCTCAGGGAGCATTGGGGTACTGCTCTCAGCCATAGGGTTTGGGTGGTGCTGTGTAGAGCCAGGGGTTGGTGGTCCTTGTGGTTCCCTTCCAACCTGGTTATTCGATGGTAAGATGGCCAGCCCTGGTCTGGCAACGGGCATTGGCAGAGAAGGTCCCAAAAGAAAGACAGGTAAATGTGGTCCCTCTTGGAAAAGCAGCGAAGGACTGGAGCCCAGCCTGGGCCAAGGTGAGGAGACATCTGCAGGAGGGGGCTGATATCCAGAGATTTGGATGGCCACTGCTGTGCTGATGAGCCCAGCACGTGGTGTGACACTAGGGTGGGCTGGGGAAGGCTCACTCTTGGGTGTTCTTACCCCAGCTGCTCCTCACGTGCAGGGAAACTCACAGAACTGAACCAAGTCCTTGGGCTGCAGGAGGTAGAGAAAGCTCTCAGACTCCTGAGGCTTAGGGCTTGCTAAGGAGAAAGGGGAAATTTGGAGGACAGTTGGAGAAGGGCTGCCCTTTCCTTTTTGTAGTGCATGCCCTTTCCATGCATTGACTCCATAATCATTGCTCTGCCTAACAAGAGAGACGAGTATGTATTGATCATTGCATTGCTTTGAATCAAAGCGTTTGTGGTGTGTGTGGTGTATGCTTACAGCACTGTCACAGCATTAACCAGGAGGACTGTTTTGTCTTCCCTCCACAGCCTGGAAGTGTCTCCTCAGGTAGAAACCAGCTCAGATGCTCCTTCTCATTTTCCTTCCCGCTCCCCTGCCCGATTCCCTGCTGCTGCTGTAGCCCATCTTGCTCGCATGCTGAGCCCTAACCTCCCTCCTGCTACCGGAGACAGTCAGCCCGGATGCTTGTCCCCTACCAACCCATTCCTCAACTCCCTGCAGAGCAATCCCTTCTTTGAGGACCTCCTCGCTGACCAGGTACTAAATTCTCCTTCACCTACTCACTTTTTCTCTAGTTTCCCGTCTGAGCCGCATGCTTCAACAGAGGTCGCTGGGAGCTTGTGTTCCTCTGAGGATTGCAGTCCCTCTGCCTCCCTAAGACTTAAAGATCCGGAGGGAGAATCTCCAGCCAAAAGCGTTGGTGTCCCCGTGCCCGAAACCACTCCTCCGTCCCATACAGACCCTCCTCCTCCAGATGAGGAACCCACCGCCTCTCCTCCTCCCCTCTCAGAGTGGGATGAGACCTTCGATGCCTTTGCCACCAGCAGGCTCAGACCAGACCCGAAGAAGGAGGACTTCTTTGCTTCGGTGGCAGCGGAGGGCATGGCTTTCATCGACGATCCCGATGCCGCCAGCCCCACGGAACGGTCAGCTGAACCAGATCCCGAGGAGGGGACAAAGGGCTTTGAAAAGGCCGAGCCGCAAATCAGCAGCGAAATGCCCCCAGCGCTGCGGTCTTGGACGAATTTCTCTGGTTTGGATGTTGGGGCAAACCTGGTGAGCACAACCCAGGAAGCGACTGTGATAGAGGATGTGCTGAGCCCCGTGTCCGCAGGGTCGGCGGCGAGGAGGAGGAAGAGCAGCACACCGATGGTTTGGGCCGCCTCGCTGTCGTCTGGGAATCCAGGGGAAAAGGAGGCTTCCACCCTGCTGGGTGCTGATAATTGTGCTGGGGAGGAACGGGACAGTAATGAGGAGGAAACCTCGAGTGTAGGGGAGAATGGCTGGATGACCATTGCCACCGAAACTGCGCCCGATCCTTCTGAGAGCACCCAGAGCATTGGCCAGGGCAGCGTGTTTGGGCAGCGGCCCTTCCACGGCGAGGGCACCTTTGAAACAAAAAGTACTCCTCATGTCCTTCCCCGAAGCACCTTCAGCTCTGAAAACACAGCAGAAACAATATCGGGCAGCAATGTGGCTGCTGTACCCCCACGGGTAGTGCAGGACATGGCAGCAGGGTGCTTCCCCGTGGCTCCGGGCGTGGGGAAGGAGCTGCAGGATGATGGCGGGGAGATGTTTGACATCAGGAGCTCGGTGTACCGGCTGCAGGCCAGCATGCGGCTGGAAGCTGGCGAGGGCCATGTGAAGATGGGCTCTGATGCTGTCCTCACAATGTGGACGGGTGTGCGAGGGAAGGAGGAGGTCATGCCACCTCCCAAACCTCCGCGGTGGTTTGCGGCCGTGTGTGGCAGAGGGGAGGATGAGAACAATGCTAGTGACACAACGGCAAGGCAGCGAGGTGGGGAGGAGCAGCAGGAAGGTGAGGAGGGCCTGGAGCAACCACGGAGCCATCCGAGCAGTGACACGGCTGTCCCTGCACCTCACACGGCTGTGCGTGAGGATGCTGCTGACGTGGAGGCCGGAGGGGACGCTTCTTTGGGAGAAGAGCCACCGGAGATGAATGGGACAGATGGGGCTGAACACTTTGAGACCTGCCCCTCCAGGTTCTCCGTAGACGAGCTCACCCCATCGGGTGCTGCAGGGAGCTGGAGTCAGCCGGCTTTGTCTCCTGTGTCACAGCTCAGCCTCAGCGCAGAGCCATCAATAGCCCCAGAGCAGGAGGAATGCCCTGAGGAGCTTGGTGTGTCGCCCAGGCCGGACTCAGGCCAACCCGAGACCTTCTGGACGGCACTGGAGGAGCAGGAGGCATTGGGCCGCCCGCACAGGTTAGCGCCGGAGCAGGACCAGGGTGAGGGGCCGGCGGTGGGCTGTCCCCATCGGGCAGAGCAGGGCTGGCCGCCTGCAGGGATAGACTTCAAGAAGGCGGAATTCTGGAAGCCAGATAGAACGGAGGAGAGGAGCGAGCAGGATGCTGCAAGCCCAGGCAATCCCTTTGCTCTGGCAGTCAGCCCTATTGCCCCCGCAAATCCCTTTGTGGAAAAGCCAGCAAGCACCCTTCCCGTCCAGGCTGTGCTGCCTGAAAGGTTCGCTCAGGGCTTCAGCTCCCCCCAGCTCCATGGGGAAGCCCTTCAACAAGGCTTCCAGCCCACTAACCCCCAAGGGGACCCGCTAGGCAATCCTTCCCTGCATGACAGCCAGCCCTTGGCCTTCTCCACCCCTTTCCCCGTGGCTGTGACTAACCCTGAGCAGTTTGATTTCCCCTCCCCTGCCGTGACCAGCCATGCTGCAGCCCAGCCCTGCCCTTTGCCGCAGTCCGGTGACACACAAGCTTCAGCACTCGTGGTTTTGCCCAGGGAGACACAGCCAGCTGAGAAGCCCTTTTTCCAGCAGACGACCAGGTGAGCTCTCCGGGGAAGGTGTGAAGGGTGTGTATTTGGTAGAGGCTTAACCCTGTCTCCCTTCTGCTCTGATCAGGGACCTCAACTCTGGCCGTGCTGGCTCTGAGGAGGATGCTCTGCACTGTGCCGAAGGTCCTCTCCTCACCTTCCCATGCTGAATGGTAACTGTGCTCCCTGAGAGTCCTGCCTGGGCAGCTGGAAGCCTTGGCTCTCTTGGATCACAGTGGGGAACAGCCAGTGGTGTCCCCTCTTAGCTCTAAACGAGGGTGAAAGGTTTGACGCATCCAAGATCTGCCCCAGGGAGAACCCAGCCGCGACAAAATTGCATTTAGTGCTAAATTTTGGCTGCATCATCTTCCCTGTGCTTGCAAAATAGGTGCCTCTTCCATGGCTGCCAGGAGAGCTTCCAGCTGTTAATGCTCTCGTGAGTCCCCTCATGGCATGTGCACAGCTATTCCCTTCTCATTAATTCAGCTTTGGTTTCTTTCTTTGTTTTTTCAACAACCACCAGGTACTAAAAACTTTCTTCTCTCTGTAGCCAAAAACAAAAAACAGAAGTTTCACCAGGGCGGTGTCAAAAAGCCATTTTCCATTCCCTTCTGCCAAGGTGCCCCTGGGACTTCACCTCCAGGGTGATGGCAAGGAAACATTATGGTGGTGGGTCAGAAGAAAGAAAGGTTTATTTCCTCCTTCCAGGTCCGTCTTTTGCTGTAGGAATGCAGTGTTTAGGGCATGGCGTGTGGTAGCTCCGTGTGCTCTGATTCCTTTTACTGAGTCAGGTTTTTTAATCCTTCTTAACTGGGTTATTCATTCTCTGACAGATAACCTTGGTCAAAATCTGCGGATAGCCAGATCATTGTTAATGTTTCATGGAAAGAGAAGTGTCCTGCTATCCCAAAGGGTAAAATTAGGCAATGAGCAGAGTGTAATCCCAGGATTCTCTGTAAGTAGAGTCATAGAATCATTAAAGGTTGGAAAAGACCTTTAGGATGACCAAGTCCAACTGTCAGCCTGTCACCACCATGCCTACTCTTGGACTGTGCGTCCACCCAAGGCCTGGCTGGCTTGTGGGAAGGAAGTGGGCTTGGATCTAAGAGCTGATCATCATTTGAGTGCTGGCCTTTGTCGTGTTACATGTCTGACAAGTCCTGGAACATCTCTGCTCTGGTTCCTCTACCTGTGAAAATGCTTTGGATACCTGCTGCTGGGATTCAAGGACCTTTGAAGAGTTACTGTTGTATCTGTGGAAGGCACTGAATCATGAAATCATAAGATCCCTAAGGTTGGAAAAGACCTCTAAGATCCCGAGTCCAACCCCAGTCCATCCCACGGTGCCCATAACCACATCCCTCAGTGCCACATCCCCACAGTTCTGGGACACCCCCAGGGATGGTGACCTCCCCCTTCACTCCCTTGCAGCTGTGTCAGTGCCTGACCACTTTTTTGGAGAAGATTTTTCCTAATATCCAACCTGAGCCTCTTGGGGAGGTGCCAGTAATTGTCATGGGGGCATAGAGGCAACGTGAAGAGGAAAGGGACCTGGGGGTGTTGGTTGATGCTCAGCTGTGAACATGAGCCCACAGTGTGCCCAGGTGGCCAAGAGGGACAACAGCATCCTGGCCTGCATTAGAAATGGTGTGGCCAGCAGGAGCAGGGAGGTGATCATCCCCCTGTACTCAGCTCTGGTGAGGCTGCACCTCGAGTACTGTGTTCAGTTTTGGGCTCCTCACTGCAAAAAAGACATTGAGGCCCTGGAATGTGCCCAGAAAAGGGCAGTGAAACTGGTGAGGGTCTGGAGCACAAACCTTATGAGGAGCGGCTGAGGGAGCTGGGATTGTTCAGTGTGGAGAAGAGGAGGCTCAGGGGAGACCTCACTGCATTCCACAACTTCCTGAAGGGAGGTTGTGATGAGGAGGGGTTTGGCCTCTTCTCCCAGGCAACGAACAGCACACGGGGAAATGGCTGCAAGTTGTACCAGAGGAGGTTTAGGTTAGACATAAGGAAGAACTGTTTCTCTCAGAGAGTGGTCAGGCACTGGAATGGCTGCCCAGGGAGGTGGTGGAGTCACTGTCCCTGGCAGCGTTCAGGAGGCGTCTGGATGAGGAGCTACAAGATCTGGTTTAGTGCTTGTGGTGGCAGTGGTGATGGGAGGACAGTTGGACTGGATGATCTTCTAGGTCATTTCCAGCTTTGTGATTCCATGTGGAAGGGCCATTTTTCTGGTCCCCATGACGGCACTCTCCTAGATGCATGTTCTACTAGAACAGCCAGTGGCATGTAGGAAAAGATTTGGTATTAAAGAAGTAGAAGGAAAAAAGGCTTCAAACCTAGAGCAGGCTTAAAGGTTTAGCTGGGGCAGAAGTGTTGTTCTCCTCCATCAGATAAAGAAGGAGCTGGTGTGTGATGAACTGTGGTGGGTTTATGTGACAGGGTTGGGAGCAGTGCTGGTCCTGAGGTCATATCACTGCTATGTGCAGTGAGAGGGCAGCAGGATTGTCTTTGTCTCAAAATGAGGTTTTAGGTGTAATCGTGTGCCAGTCTTTGCAGTCTGAATGTAGTCCTTGTGGAGAGCTCAGTGTCAGAGAGTGGTTTGCCACATCCAGAAATAGACTGGGGATAGTTCATCCCTTTTCCTTCTGTAAGGCCCTTCTGCAAGCAGGGCTGGCCCCCAGGTGCTGCGTGCTGCATCTGCCCTGCATTTGCCCTTTGTTGCCTTGCTGTCTGTGAGAAGCATTTTAATAGGAAGATAAAAGGACTTAATTCCTAAGCTGCTGTAGAGAAATTCCCCCCTGATTTTTACTACACTCAGCAATCACCTTGGGAGCATCACTGGGAGCAGTGCTGTGACACAGCAAGGTTTGCTCAGGAGATGGGTGGAAGGAGAAGTGCTGGGGCTGTGCCTCCTTCATCTGGGAGATGTTTCATCTCAAAGGCATGAATTTTCATCGTAGATCTACGGTCACTTGGAGGCACAGTGGTGGATTGAGCAGTCTGCTGGTGTGAGTGATTAATTCTGCTTTCAAGTTGGCATCCATCAGCTGGTGGATGGAAGGAGGTCCGGTGTCTCAGCGCATCCATCTGGGCTTTGTCTGTGCATCTGGGCGCCTCCTGCGCAGGGTGTCGGAGCTGGTTGGTACTGCTGTCCTCTCTGAAAAGGGAAGCAGGAGAGAGGCATTGTTGTTTTAGATATGAAGAAAACTTCTCCCTGTCAGCATGATGGGGAGGTTGCACATCCTCATCTGTCACTGCTAGCAAGGCACAAGGATGCCAGCCTCGGACTTGGGCCATCCGGCTGATGCCGTATGCAGTGCTTCTACCTCTGTCCAGTCAGCTTGGAGTGGGGCTCAGAGCCACTGCTCTGCTTTAGGAACTGCAGACACGTGGTTACAGCACAAGCTGGGCTTTAGAGAGATCTGTCAGCCTGGCTGGCAGCTCATGGATCAAGTGAGTGTTCTTCCTTCCACTGATTCCTGAAGTCCATGAGTGTGAATAGAGTCTGTGCTTGCCTTTTTTTCTTCAGAGCTGAGCTCCTCTGAGCACAACATCTCTTTCTCCTGCAGTGGTTCTGCACGAGAAGCCTTCACAGGGTGCCCACTGCAGCTGATGAGCATCAAGGCTTCGTGGAGATCTTGATCACATTTTAAGGTCTTTCAGTACAGCATGCAGGTCCCGCAGGAAGGTAGCATCAGGTCACTTCTCTTTCCATCATGCTGAAAAGCACTCCTGGCAGCCAGGAGTTTCAACCCACAGCACTCTTAGCGTGGCCTGAGCAGCACAGCATGTGCATGGGGCTTTTGAGCCCCTTGGACACGTGCTTGGCTGAGGTACTGTGACTGTGCAGATCCCATCTCTGGCTGGTTACAGTGCAAGGCGTTGTTTCTTCTCTCTGTGGAGAAAGCAGTTTTTGAGCAATGCAAACACAATTTAACTACGTGAAGCTGACTGAATTTGATAAGTGGGTCCCAAACCCCTAAAAACCATAGGGACAGCCAATTGCTTTAAAGCTTAGCAGGGCATTCATTATCCAACCTTGTTCTCCTCAGTCCTCACCCGGTGAAACCCATCAGTGCTGCAGTGCAGGAGGTCTCCAGTGAGAAGAAGCAGCAGAACAAATCCAGCCTGACCACAGCGCTGAGCAATGGCCTGGAGAAGCTGAAAACAGTCACCACGGGCAGCGTTCAGCCTGTGGCCCCCTCGTCACACCTGGAGAAAACAGACCCAAAGAAGGTAAAGGTAGGAGCCAAGTGCTGGGGTGAGGGCTGGCTTCCCACCTGCTCGTGAGGTTGGAGGTGGAGACAAAATGGTGGTGGAGGATGTGGGATGGGGTCTTGCCATAGGGTGACCAAACTCCCCAGGGCTTTCATCGTGAGGGATCTTTTAGCTCTTAATTCTGTTCTTTCCCTGTTATCCTGGCTGGAGGACTGGGTAAGCAGCTAATGGCAGGTCTCGTTATGGCAGTGGGTTCTGTTGTCTCTGTGCCTTTAGCTTTTCACTGTTGACATTTGGTGAAATGCTTTTTGGGGAGACCCTGTTTATTAATCTACTTTGTGGGAGGGCTCTGTGGTCACCTCTAGCTCCATGGAATCCATGCATCCAGGCTGCAGTGGCTGCATGTCTGGACAGTTGTTCCCTCTCCCATGTTTTTGTGCAACCAAGTGGCCACGTGGGAAAGCTGCTCTGTAATGCAGGATGTTCCAGGTTCATCAGGTGGGATTTGGAGGCGACAGATGTAGTAAACACTGAATGCTTTGGTATTTGGTGTATTGCTGCACCTTGCAAATGCTGACAGGAGTGAAGGGAGCAGTGCTTTTCATTCGACTTGCTGAACGTTCTCCTTGGTTTCTGCTGCAGGATCCCAACGTGTTGGACCAATCAGCCAAGTATTATCATTTGACCCACGATGAACTCATCCAGCTCCTACTGCAGAGAGAGAAGGAGCTGAGTAAGAAGGAGGAGCACATCCAGGAACTGGAGAACTACATTGACCAGCTGCTGGTGCGCATCATGGAGCAGTCTCCCACGCTCCTCCAGATCCCGCTGGGGGAAGCCAAGACCAAGTAACCTCCAGGCAGAGACCAGCATCACTTGCCTAAAGCACTTCCAGTAAACACGCTGCAAACATCCCTGCACTCCCCCCTCCTCTTAAAGAGGGCTTCTCCAGTGGCTTCTGTTCGCAGAGATAAGCAGGAATGGTTATCTGCTCCTTCCCAACCTAAGCTTATTCCAGCTCTGGCTCCAGGGAACTGTAGGGTGGTGGGCTGTCATCCACCCTATGGGGAGGAGCAGAGCCTTCCTCAGGAAGCAGATGCTTCCTGAGGTTCCTGTCATAACCAAGTAGCATCTTCTCAGGCACTCATCCAATACCAATGCTTTAAGTGGTCCATGAACATCTGGGAGCTGGAAACCAGGCACCTCGCCCTTGTCTTCATCCTGCTACTGCTGCTCTTCTGCCTACACTCTTCCACAGGCTCTTCTCTGAAATGGTGTGCTCTGGCTGATGGACAGCGTTAAACTGGCTGACAAAATCGGGGATGCCTAAACTCAGTAAGAGTCTACCAGCACGTTACTGTCCAGTAAGTCTGCTCAGCAGGGCAGCTGGGGAAGGGGCTGCTGCTGGATGCCTCCTTCCCTTCCTGCCCCGTATGTTGCACCCACAAAGGAAGGCTCTGAACAGCTGACTCCTCTTTGTGTCAGTACCTGGTGCAGTAAGAGGCAGTACGCAAAGCCACAGTGCTGCAGTCAGAGGCTGCAAAGACTCAAGCCAACATCACTGCCTGATTGTGAGCTGTGCTGGTTCCTTCTCTGCATGCAGGCAGGGTTGTGATGATGCCTTAGAGACCCAGCCCGAAACTGAACTCGTAGAGAAGGGCCGGTGATGGTTTGTGCACCATCAGTGCTGCAGGAGATCTTGCACGGCACCCAACCCATCACCAGGTGGGCTGTGCCTGAGATACTCCTGTATGCAGAAACCACAGCTGGATTTTCTGATCAGTATTATACTTCCTCTTTTCTGCACCTGCAAGAATTGCTTTCCACTGGCAGCCCCCTGTAATTGACTTTGTGTTGTCATTATCAATGCAACAGGAAAGCGCCACACAGACCGAAGCTAGTGTGCAAAGAAGGATGTCTGGCTGCCCAGCCACCTCTATGCATGATGTCCCGTTAGGTCAGACATCCACCAAACACAAATGCAAACCACATTCTGTGAAAGCTAGCAATCCAGTAATCAACGTGGATCACTTTCAAGTCAGTATTAGTGCCAGAACAGCTAAAATTAATTGTATCACACCTCACGCCAGCATCAGGTCTCTGGCAGCTTGGGCCCACCCCTAGAAATGCTAGGCCAGCTCTCTCGGGAGTTGACTGCTTCTTGCTACCTTGGAGTGACTGTATGAAGGCCTCTGTGTTGCTTGATGTAATAGATGGTGCTGGTGTGGGGTTGCTGGGTGCTGCTCCCAGCCACGTTGCAGCACAGCGCAGCTTCTGGTTTGGAGGTGCTGGGGGAGGGCATATAAACCTGTCCTTGTGTCAGTATTTTGGCTGGAAGGTGCCTGTGCAGGCAGAGGATCAGCTGGTGTGGGACTTGAGCTGTCTCAGCACGTAGGGCATCTTCTCTCTGCTGCAGATATCCAAAAGTTACAGGATTTATTTTAAACCTTTGTGTTCTTTTCTCCTTCCTTACTTCAACTTAACGCCATGACTGAGAAATTGTGCCTTTTGCAATAGAACAATGCCAGTTCCCTATGAGAAAAGGCTCTGAAATTCAATTCTCAGCTGACACAGCTTGGCCAGCTTCCTGTTCTGCTTGCCTGCTAATTTGAGCTAGGTGAGTCTATGTTTTAAAGCAGTCAGCAGAGCCTTCCCATCCCTATGGGCAATTTGTTTTGGTCTTTGACAGAAGTGCTGCGTGGAGATCTCCATGATATGGCAGATGTAGATAGAGGAGGTGATAATGAGGGAAGGTGTGGCAGATATTACAAGACCAGATGCAGCTGGATAAAGGCACTATTGGGTCACACTCAAAGCCTGAGGCTGACAGAAGTAAGAGGTATCAGCTTAAAAGGAGATTTGGCATCTCTGCTAGTGACAATATTTGGTCATGTCTAGCTTGCAGACGGTCATATTAACAGGAGGATTTGTTATCCTGGAAGATAGCAGCCATGAGCCATTAGTTCCCAGCTGTGCTTGTCCCTAATAGGGAACTAATTGGGGTTTTGCACCTCTCTACCTGCATCTTTATGTTCCTCCTCCCTCTGTGTGTCTCAGATGAAAGGAACTTCAATTTCTGGTGTGAGATGTGTGTCCTGCAGTGGCCATCCTGGCTCGCTGCTGCCTGACAATCAGCTGTTTCCTTGGGTTTCAGTGACAGGCATTACAGGTGCTCCCCACACACAAGTGCCAGTGCTTGTAGCTCACTACACCTCCCCGTCTCTCCTCCTCCTCTTCCATTGCATCTAACGGCCTCCGTATGCCCCTCTCTGCCTTAGGTGGCTCTGCCTCTTCTCCCAGAGCTTGAATGTTTTGCACTTTATATCTTCAAGTTGATCTCAGAGCTCCAGAGGGCCGTGTCAGGATCCCTTCAGCAATACGTGCTTCCTTCTGCCGCCTGCGGCTCACGGGGCTATGGAGAGAAGCAAGTGGTGGGGAGCCAAGGCTGCCATCACGTTTCATGTCTGTCAGAGCGTTTGGAAGTCCAGAGGTACCTATAAATGTTTAGGAGAAGGCATCTGAAAGGTGCTTTTGTCTTTTCTTTGTTTCTGCACCTCACTATTCCAAGAATGTTCCTCCCCACCCTCCCCAGTTTTTATTGTCTGCGGTAAAGCAAGCGTTTTACACCACTCACAGTGCTGTAGCCAGAGTGTGTAACCAGAGGACTTAGCTGCTTTGAAGAATAACTGGGGGAAATGTTGTCGAGTTACGTTCCAAATCCATGCTTAGTGATTATCTTCCAAAGGGAGGTGAGCAGCACTGCTCTCTGTGCAGGGCAGCACCCAGAGCTGCGCTGCTCTGTGCAGAATGAGCAGACAGAAGGACGTGAAGGAAGCTGCCTGGGCCAGCAGCAGCTTTTGGTGGGTTCTGTTTTAAACACAGCCACAGCAATAATTCTGTCTTTTGCCTTTTCCACCCTTATCTGTCCTTCTCTTTCCACGTTCAGACTGTTTGGGTTTTCTGCAGGGCACTGTTGCTCTCATCTGCTCTGTTTTTGTTGTCAGCCCACAACCGGCTTTCTTGCTGTTAAGAACTCTGGCCAAGTGATTGATTTTTGTCTTTGCTGCCTCTTCTGTCCCAAAATGATGGGACAGAAGAGCAGCTGAGGTATATCCTTAAACTGGAACAAACCTGAAGGGATGTGGATGCCGAAGTGTGATGTAGACCCAGCCATATGCCTTGTCTGTGAAGGAACAGCTGTGTTATAAACGTGGGGTGGAAAACCACCCCAAAACCAGAGAGCTCAGTGTTTGGGGGTTTTGGAGTTGTTGATTCCCTGTACTTCGCGTACGCGGGAGGTGGGTTCTGTGTGTTTCATGTTTTAATAGTTTGCAACTAATGTTTATAAAGAGAGCTTGTTATTTACATTTTAAGCACTTTAAAAAAAAAAAAAATAAAAGTTGTTCAAGCTGTTCCTAGATACTTCTGATTTATTGACAACAGCGTCTGTGCTGATAGCACTTGGACAGTGAGTGACATTTATCTGTTTATTTTCTGAAGGAGGATGACGGTGCCCAACTTCTCCACGCTGATACATACCATTATTAGTCCCAAAGCACCCGCTGCCACTCTGGGGGGTGTTGTTGCTGCAGGATGAGCTTGAGTTCATCTCTGAATATTGCCCGTGCGTGAGCTGAGGGGTGTGAGCCCCTGCAGGCTTTCTTGCGTGTGCCACAGAGCTGCTCTGGGGGTTCAGGTCTGCAGCTCCATTGTTCGCTCCTGGCTTGGCCCTAAGGTACTGTGAGCAGAAAAGTTGTGATTGCATTCCTGAGGATTTGTGGGGAAAACAGCAGCTGAGGAGAGGACAGAGCCCCTGACCGTGTGGTGCTGGGGGAGAAAACAGAGCTCACGTTGCATCGGAGGCACCGCGCAGCTCAGAGCCTCGCGTGCACAGGGAGGCAGCACGGCTTTGTGCCATGCTTTTACCCGCTCCTCTGGGGTACTGAGTGCTTATGTTTCTTTGCTTGGCAGAGGGTTGATCCGCAGCCTAGACCTTTGCCTCTAGCTTCTCTGCCCTAATCCCACCCACCTGTTTTATCACTCAGCTGTTTGCCTTCTCAAAGTCTGCTTTTTTTTTTTTTCTTTTTCTTCATTCATGCCTTTTCCTTCAGGAAAAAAAATAAATTAACTCCCCTTAAGCTTTGGTAAATGACTTTGCTGTCAGTGACGGGAGAGTTGTGTTAGCTCTAATCCCAGTTTGTTTTTCCTCCTGCCAGACCACAAGCCGTTATGTAGCTCAGCACCTGTCCAGGGATCATGTTAGCCCTGGGAGCCGAGGAAATGCTCAGCACAGCGCTGTGCGGGGTCAGGGCAATGAGCTGCGACCCCTGAAAGGCTGTGCTGAGTAAAGGCAGCCTGAAATGATGAGGTTAGATGGGGTTCTGCAGATGGCGGAGCGCACGGAGCAGAGTGGCTGTAATTAGAAGGTGGGGTTGTTGGAGGCTGTCAAGTCCAAAAAAAAAAAAAGAGATATTAAGGCTTTAGTGCTGCTGAAACTGACAGGATGATGCTGAATCTCTGCCTGCTTGAAAGCTTCAACGTTGAGTTGGGACTTATGCAAATAAGCCTCATTCCTACAGGAATCATAGAATTATACAGCCACAGAATCACAAAGATTGGAAAAGAGCGCAAAACTCACCAAGTCCAACCGTCAGCCCAAAGAAGAAGAGCTGGCTGGGTTTGTTGTTTGAAGCCTGAGTTGTGCAGCCCGACGCAAGTTTTCTTCAAATCTGGCTTTGCAGATGGAAGCCGACAAGAAGCGTTCGTGCAACTTTCTCCCAGAGCCAGCAGGCAGCCCAGCTGCGCACCCAGCTGTCACGTGCGAGGCGGCCGTCAGACCCCAAATCTCACTTGGGTTCCAGACAAGTTTGCTCTGTAGCTGAAGGTTTTGTTCCTCCCCCTGCCAAAATGGAAATAAATACCAATATTGAGTTAACAGTTGCTGATCTAGGGAAGGAACCCTCCCCCCCCCCCTCCCCCCTCCTCTCTTCCCCATGCCACTGAAACGCGACTTGTCAGTCTGAATGGATCTGGTTAGATTGATATCAGCCAAAGAATTGATATTCTTTCTGGTATTTAACCAAAAAAGTGATAGTCTTATGTCACTCCAAATGTGGTTTTAGATAAACAGATTCTCTCCCCTCTGTTGTTATAAAACATTTAGTGTGTCAACATTAGGGATCGTATCAATTATCTGGCTCGAACAGCAATGGGAGGGAGGGGGGTTTCCCTGGTATAGAAATGGAGAGATTTGGGTTATAAACCATACTTACTGCAGAGCCCTAATGCTTTTCATAGAATCATAGAATGGCCTGGGTTGAAAAGGACCACAATGATCACATGTTTTCAACCCCCTGCTATGTGCAGGGTCACCAACCAGCAGACCAGGCTGCCCAGAGCCACATCCAGCCTGGCCTTGAATGCCTGCAGGGATGGGGCATCCACAGCCTCCTTGGGCAACCTGGAACAGTGCCTCACCACCCTCTGGGTGAAAAACTTCCTCCTCATATCCAACCTAAACCTCCCCTGTCTCAGTTTAAAGCCATTCCCCCTTGTCCTATCACTATCCACCCTCATAAATAGCTGTTCCTCTTCCTGTTTTTATGCTCCCTTCAAGTACTGGAAGGCCATATTGAGGTCTCCCCAGAGCTTTCTCTTCCCCAAGCTAAATGAGCCCAGTTCCCTCACCTTTCCTGAGTTTAACTTTTCTGAAGCACAGGATGAAACCTTTAGAAAAGGATAAGTTGCCTTATGAAATATTACTTGTAGCAACAGGATGTTTTTCCCCTTTTAGGATGGTGTTAGGGCTCCGAGCAGGGTTAGACCCTGCCCAAAGAAAAGCAGACCCTAATGACTTGCTTTTCTTTGAGATAAGGGGGACACCACACCACGAGGAGGGGGTGAGAAGGGCAGCGGTGTCTTGTGGGGTCAGGAGGCTTAAGCCCCGTGGAAGCTTGTAGGCAACATGTGCTCAGCCTGCACTGCAACTGGACTTAATTAAAAGAAGCAAACCATTAACTCTGAGGACAAGGTACGAGGGCAGCAGGGGGTACAAGTCCAGTCAGCAGAACTGGTTGTGGGAGCGGGGCTTTGCTCACTGTGAGGGATTGAGTGCTCCCTCAGCACAAATTGGGATGTCTGCCTGAGGGTAGGAGTGCCCTACAGGGGGACGTGGTCAGTGGGCATAGTGGGGTTGGGTTGGGGTTGGGTTTGGTGATCTTAGAGGTCTTTTCCAACTGATTCCATGATTGTATGCTTCTCCCTGTCCGTTCCTGGGAGGCACATGTTTGTGCCGTCCCACAGTGATGCAGAGAAGGGGAGGTGATACTGGATGCCATGAGCTCTTGTTGGTTGGAAGGAACGACATGATTGTAATAGTTAAAAGCAATTGTTAACTGCCCATCAGCATAAAAAGATGTATTTCCACGAGGAAAGGATGAAACACGAGGGTTTTAGGAGCTTTCAGCTTGCTGTGGTCATTTGTACAGAGCTAACGTGAATGCTGCTGTCTCTGTCACGCTCCTTCACTGCCCCGTGCCTTATGGCAGTTCTGTCACAGAAACAACAGCATTCGGGTAGAAAAAAGGAGGAACACTGAGGTGAATGGGTCAGAAACATGAACTGCGAGTGAGATACACATATGCTTTTAGGGAAGTAAGAAGATGTTTCTGCCAGGGAGACATGGTGTGTTGCCTCCGATACCCTCGTTAGTTGCTAAATTCAACCGTTCTTTCTCAGAAAGCGTGGAAGGCGATGGAAGCTGATGAGACAGGAGAAGGGCACGCTGTGTATATCCAAACCCGACGGCTGCTCTGAGGGCCCCATGCTGCCCCTGTGTCCTGGCCCTCTCCCCTCAGCGTTCCCCCTCAGCTTCCCGCCAAACTACCCTTCCCATCGTGCCCCGTGCGCCGCCCCCCTGAGGACTCCATCTCCCATGCTGCCCCTCGCCGCCGCGCGCTCCCATTGGCCGGCGGGAGCGGGCCGCCTATCCCAGCGTCCCTTTCGCCGCCGGCAGCGCAGACTCCTGGTGAGCACTACATTTCCCATCGTGCCCCACGGGAGCTGCGGAGGGCCGTGGCCAATCAGAGAGGCGGCGGCGCAAGGGGCGGGCCCGGCGGCGGGGGAGGCTGTTTAAAGTGGCGCCCGCAGCGCGCGAAGGGGATGGCGGAGCCGGCGGACTATCCCCCCTTCCAGCTGGGGAAGCCCCGCTTCGAGCAGGTACCGACGGCGGGAAGGGCACGGGCATGGTGGTGGGAGCGGTCTTTCACGGGAGCGGCGTCGGGCCCCCCCTCCCCGAGAGATAAGCCCCCAGCCCCCCGCCGCCCCATTTTCACCCCCTTTGCCTCCGGCGCTGCGCTGATTGGTCCGCGCTCTGCCTCCCATTGGCCCACGCCGCTGTCACTCAGAACCGCAGCGCCCCGCCTCGCGGCGGCTCCCGCGGCGGGCAGCGATTGGAGCGTCCCGCCGTGCCCCTGTGGCGCTGCGGGGACGGGGGGGGCGATGTGAGACTGTGGGGTCGCGGGTTCGAGACCGGGGAGGGTTTGAGGAGTGAGATGGGGGTCCCGGGAGGGGCGCGTGCGTCGAGCTGAAAGGTCGTTACATGGCCCTGGGGGGCAGAACGGGCTGAGCCCGGACCCGGTGGAGTGTCTGCGAGCCCAAGGTTGTGTGGAGGTGACCGGGGGGGGGGGGGGCAAGGTTGCTGGGCCCCTTGGAGTTGGTGCACAATGCAGTAATTAGCCTCGATTTAAAAGAAAACGCATGGAAGATCCGTGGTGGTTTTGTGCTGAGGAATGTGGTGTTGCCATAAGCGGTGGTTCTGGGGTTGCTGCAGGATTTGGGGCCTGCTTTGGGCTGAAGTGCAAAGCGGTGGCCATGATGGGCCCTTTGGGGGCCTTGGGGGGCCCCGAATGTCCTTTTGGAGACCTCGAGGTGCTGTTTGAGGACCCCAGGTGGCCTCTGGGGGTCTGGAGGCACCTCCTGGGGATACAGAATGGCCTGGGTTGAAAAGGACCACAATGATCATCCAGTTCCAACCCCCTGCTATGTGCAGGGTCACCAACCAGCAGCCCAGGCTGCCCAGAGCCACATCCAGCCTGGCCTTGAATGCCTGCAGGGATGAGGCATCCAAAACCTCCTTGAGTAACCTGTTCCAGTGCCTCACCACCCTCTGTGTAAAAAAACTTCCTCTTAATATCCAACCTAAACCTCCCCTGTCTCAGTTTAAAACCGTTCCCCCTTGTCCTATCACTATCCACCCTCGTAAATGTTCCTCCTCCTGTTTATGTGCTCCCTTCAAGTACTGGAAGGCCACAATGAGGTCTCCTGGAGGGGTCTTTTGGGAGGATCTCCAGGGGCATTTTTTGGGGGTCTTGAGATGTCTTTGTTGGACACTATTGCCTCTGTGTTTTTGCCACAAGCTTCTGATACAGCTCTCAAAGTTCCTGCAGCCTCCTTCAGCTGCTCCTGGTGCGGGATGAAGCCGCTGTGAAAAGGAAAGAGCCATCAGAGCTATCAAATCGAGGAGGAGCCGAAGCCTGCTCGCTAATAAGTCCTCCCCCCGCCATTGGGGAAATCTCCAAGGAGACTTTCTTCCCACCATCCACACGAAATCTGCACAGGACCGCTGTGTGCCAACCATCTGACTCGCTAATTGCAGATCCCAGAGCTTGGCTTGACCGAAGCCGCCCATTTGGGTGGTGGAGGAGCCTGGTTATGCTTCCTTCAGAGGACCAAATGTCTGTGCTCTTCCCCATTGACTTATCCCTCATTCCTCCATAGGGTTCAGGGCAGGAGGTGGTGCAGGGACCTCCCCAGAACCACGGCTGCCCTATAACAAGGGTGTGCCTGCTCGGCTGCACGAACCGAGGGATGCTCAGCCTGGGGAGACGGAGCTTTTTAATAAGGAGAAGAGGAGGAGGAGGAGACACTACTCCCTTCTAGACACCACAGATGATTCGAGGCACACTTGGCAGCGCGTCAGGCACAGAATCGGTGCATTCTGTTCATTAAGGAGTGACTGTCACTTGTAGCAACGTTTAGAAAATGTTTCGAGGGGTATGGCAGGATGTTAATGATCGTGTACGCGTTCGAGCAGAGCTGTCCTCTCCGGGTGTATTTCCATAGTGTCCCAGGGCTGAGGTTTTCCTGGTGGTGAAAGCACCCTTGAGAACAGGATCCCTCTCCTCTTCATGGATTTGATTTGGTTCCCATAGTTTTCTTTCTGCCAAGCTGTATATAGGACTGGTGGTAGGGTAGGGTCGCTGGTGCCTGCGTCCTGCTGCCTCCCATCTCTGTAATGATGCCCTTTTTCCTGTTCCAAGTCCACAGTGCATTCAGACAGCCCATTTCGGGAGCTGGCAGCTTTTTAGGGTCGTGGAGCAAGTGAGGGAGGGCACCTGGCCAGGTCCTGTGGCCTGGTTGCACCATCCTGACCCTCCTCGGATCATGCTGGTATTTATTTACCCATCCTGAAATGTGGTTGGTCAGGAAATCTCCATCTCCAGGGCTGCAGGATAGTGCTGGGAGGAATGTGTGAGTTGCAGAGGAGCTGTGTTAGGCATCTTTGTCCTTGCAGGGAAAAAAGCACAAGGAGAAGTTTATGTGCTAGCAACAAGAGGCTTGGTTTGGAGGAGAGGAGGCAGTTTCTAAGGTTCAGAGTCTTCAGTGACCTCATGTTGTGCCAGGGGAGCTTCAGGTTGGATATTAGGAAAAACTTAGGTCTGGGTGCTGGCACGGCTGCCCAGGGGGTGGTGGGATCAACATCCCTGGACAGGTTGTGCAGATGTGACACTTGGGGACGTGGTCATTGGGGATGGGTTGGGGTTGGGGTTGCTGATCCTGAAGGTTTTTTCCAGCCTTAATGGTTCTGTGGAAGGAATGGAGCAGCGTTCAGTGATTTGAGGCTCCTGTCCCCAGCACGGCCCTGCAGCTCGTTTCCCTTCTCCCACCTCTTGCTTTGCAGCTCACTTGTTTGTCCTGCTCTTCAGGCAAGTCACATCTGTCAGGTCACATTTCTGGTTTCTTTGCTGGGAGCAGCTTTTGCCTCCCGACAGAAGCAGGTTATTTTTAGGTAAAAGAAGAAGGACATTAAGCATGAGAATGCGTGACAGGGGCTTCGTTTTCTGACCGGCAGTTTTAATTTGTTAAGCACAGTTGCTTTTTATTTATTTCTATTTACCATTAGTAGGTTTTGCTGTCTGCTCCCTCCAAAACATCATACTGAAGTTTCTGAAGCTGTGACCCACAGCCCCTGCTTCAATCCAGGCCAAATAAATGCGTGTTTGGAAACTCTAAAGAAGGCGTGGGGTATGGTGGTTCACCAAATAGTGCTGTAAACTGCTGCAGGCTGATAGTGCCAGTTAAACTTTGGGGTTTTTATTGCTGTCAGCTCTCGAAAAAGCACTCTGCAAGCAGGAGGATGTCCCAGATCTTGGATCCTGTAGGGGAAGGAGAGGGAAATAAGGAGGATGAAGCCAACTGCAAGCATCGTGTGCTGCTTGTGGGACTCGGTGGGAGCTGGGGGCTCAATGTGTGGTCATGGGCTCAGAGCGTGCTTATCTCAGAAGTGTCCTGTGAGGATCTTAATGCTGCAAATCGTCGCTGCCTGCTCTCTGTGCACTTTGATCTGGGAATTCAAAAACCCAACGTGTTCACTCCTCCCTGAGTCAACCCGCGCGCCTCCCGTGTCCCAGACAACCCCTGCAATAACATGCAGATAAAGCAGCCCTCAATTAGATATGCCTCTCAGGAGCTTGATGGCTTGCTGATTGCGTGTGTTAATTGCTGAAGGCCTTGACAGGAGGGCCCAGAGCTGCGTTAGAAGGATATTAAGTGAACACAGAAGTTCCTACTCTGGCTTCCACCTTTCAAGCTGTTTTCTACTGAAAGTGGATGAGCCGCCTCATCCGCTTTGGAGCAGGGATTTCCTAAGGAGGTTACAGGGGGATGTTTAAGGCTGCTTTGCAGCTGCTGTGGCTTTGCTGTACGTGCAGGTCCAGCCCAGTGTGTGGATGCTGCTGGAGAAGATGCTGGCAGGCGCTGCGCGGTGCGAGCTGCCAAACGTGGCTTTCTCAGCCCTGAATTCGGGCTGACCCTGTTTATCCTATGCAGTCGGTTGGGTTCTGCAAACACATGCTTAAAGACGAATTGCAGAGGAGAAAAGGAAATACAGACACCTTTTGGGTTTGGTGTTTATCTGCTAACTTCATCGAATCTGCCAAAAAAGCCATCCGTTGGCTTTTTTACATCTCTGTCAGCCAGGATTGGATTTCAGACGGAGTTTGCGTCGTGTGCTGCGGGGTGTTTTTGCTCAGGGGTTGGGTGGAGAAGCTGAAGGTAAGGCTGGGAGGTGTGCTGGAGTGAACCAACCTGTAGGATCCATGCTGTAATCCCACAGCCTGCAGCAGCAGAAAGAAGAGGAGCTGCTGCTAGAGGGAGAAGATGAAGATTTGCCTCTTTGCTGTGCATCTGAGCCCTCACCTTTTTCTTCAGGTGGCTGAAGGTGCAGGGAAGGGCTCCTGGCCCTTTAATTGACTCAGATTTAGAGTATTAAAGGGCTGTGATTGCACAGCTTAAGCCCAAACTTGTACATGGGGTGGGCTCCCGGCGTGGAATTGCACAGCATTGCCAGCAGTTGCTCAATGGCTTGTATTTTTTAATATATATTTTCTGTGGTTTAGCTGAAATCTCTTCCTAATTAATTGAGAGCTGACGTAAGCCTGGCTTTTTTTTTTATAATTTCTTTTTTTTTTTTAAACTAGAAAAAAAAAAAAAACCCAACCAAGTCTGTGTGCCTTTTGCTCTGGCTTAATTAAATCTTTTTTACAGTCACACTGCAATTAAATGAGTGAAGTTGTGCGTATCTCCTTCCAGTGCTGAGGAATGCCCACCTGCTTTAAATGAAGGTGATTAACCGACTGCTTGCTAGTGGCCATTTACTCCCTGCCCTTTCTCTCCAAATTCCTGATGCCTTTTTTTTCCTTCTCTGAGCATTTTTGCTGGTGCCCTCTACGTCCTGCATGGCCTGCAGCACATCCAGGCTTGAGCTGGAGCTCATTGCGCTCCCTTGCTCTGTACAAACTGCCATGGAAGGGAATTAATATTCCCTTCTAGGACTTAGTCTTGCTCGCAGGCTGGTGAGAAGCAGTCCCAAAATAGCCCCGATTAATCACAGGAAAATTGCAGTATTCAGATTTCCTCTGAATAACCGTTTACTACAGCAGATGTTACGGGAATAAAATGGTGGAAGAGATGCAGGATGTGTTTGAGATGTGAAGGTCAAACTCGTGGGTGTGCTGCAAGCTCTATCCATGGCATGATCACAGTGGCCAGAACTGGAAATAACCCCAATGAAAACAACAGTCCCCAATTTTCATTGAAATCTGGGACTGGTTGACTGCTAGGGTTTGGTCTGTCCAGCACAGACTTTGGAAAGAGGTGGATATACTTGGATGTCCCCTTATTCTGTTGGGTGTGGATTGATGGATACTGGGGGGATGGTGTGGTTGGGCGCTGGCACAGCTGCCCAGGGATGGTGGGATCACCATCCCTGGAGATGCTCCAGAACAGTGGGGATGTGGCACTGAGGGTCAGTGGGCACGGTGGGATGGGTTGGGGTTGGAATGGCTGCTCTTACAGAGTTCTTTATGATCCTAGGAGTGCTTTTTTCCTTCTGAGCAGCTCATGAATAGCAGCAAAGAAAAGCACGTTTGTGTAGTCGTGTTTTCAGACAGCTTCTGCTAATTTGGAAAGAAACGAGAGCCACGGGTGATCTGTCAGGTCTCCTTGCCTTCCGTAGGGGTGCGCTCCGTCTCAATTGAGTTTGTCTGCGCGTCCCTGGTGAGCAGAGCCATCCTGGAGCTGGTGTCAGCCCAGGGAAGAAGCACGTCTGTCTTCACACTGTCTTTCCTTTGAAGTAGTGATGGCAGGGGGATAATTTCTTCACTTTTTTCCCCCCGCTTCTTTTAGAAGTGCAGATGAAAGAAGCAGAAGCTGGAGTGGCCCTGAGTGCCAGCAGGAAAAGCGGTCGGTCCTGGAGCAGCCTGCACCATGAAGTGCTCTGTGATGTCTGAGCAAAGGGCACGTGGGCATTGCAAATCTCTCAAGTGGAGAACTGAATTGAGAGCTGCTCCTGGTTGGTCTGTGTAGAACCATAGGATGGTTGGGTTGGAAGGGACCTCAGAGCCCCCTCAGCCCCATGGGACCTCTGCCATGGGCTGGATGCCCCCCAGCAGCTCAGGTTGCCCTTCCTGGCCATGCATGGGGGGGGCTTTATTCTCAATTCTTCTTGCTCTGGACCTTGGTGTGTAATTCCGCTGTGCTATGAGTCAATGCTATGACCCCACTCTAATGGCCTGGGTTGCAATAGGATGGGTTTGGGCTGCTGAAGCAGAGTGAGTAATCAAAGGAAGGTAGCAACACGCCAAGCTCTCAAACGCTAGAAAGTACCAGAATTAGCGTTAATTAAGTCAACGCTAATTAAAAACCACTGGGATTTTTATTTTTTTTTTTTTCCCCGTAACTTCTGTGAAGCTATTTTGTTCAGTTGCAGGCTTTTTTTTTTTTTCCCCTTTCATTCTCATGTAGAACATGGCAAAATAACAGCATGGAGCACAGGAGCAGCTGAGAGCAGGATTGCAAGGCAGGGTGGTGGGGCTGCAGCGCCCCTGGGATCTGCTTCTATGGAGGGGTTTCTGCCTCAGTAAGTCACAGTCTTGGTGGTATTTTCTCCGTGCTTCGTGGATTCAGCAGAGAGAAGCCAGCAGGTTTCATCAAATTACACCAGGCGGTGATTAAATGCCATTCTCACTGCTGCATCCATATTCCCATCCTTTATTTATAGCACTGCAAATACAGAAAGAGTTGTTTGCCTGCTCGTGGCCGTAGAGCAAAAGCGTCCCAGTGTTTGTGAGCACGCAGAGATCGGTGGCTGTGTCCTTTCTGTGCAGTGGGTGCAAATTCTGCTTGGGAAGAGCCAAGAGAAGAAGGTCAGCCACCAGAGTGGGCCACCACGTGTCCCTTTGTCCTCACTGATGCTTGGGTGGATGTTGGGGCTGCCCACGTCTGCCCACCTCTGGTGTGGGTGAATGCAGACCTGGGCTGAAACAATGATGTGCTCTGCATGTTTCAGTGTTTTGTGGTCCAGTGCTTTGGGTTTGCCTACATTCAGTTTTTGATGTTTAGTTTTCTGGTACTGAGTCAGAACTGCTCTGCACTCCTTTGAAGCTGCTCATGACTGCCTGCAGTTTGTTTCACAGCTTCCTCCCCTCCCTTCAGGCAGTTCCCAGCTTTCTGCATCCCTTCCTGGTCTTCTAGCTGCAGTTGCTGCTCCAGGTGAAAGCATGCCCCGTCCCTGCAGGCATTCAAGGCCAGGCTGGATGTGGCTCTGGGCAGCCTGTTCCGCTGGTTGGCGACCCTGCCATAGCAGGTGGTTGAAACTGGATGATCACTGTGGTCCTTTTCAACTCAAGCCATTCTATGATGAAGGTTGAAAAAGACCTCCAAGGTCATCAAGTCCAACCATCAGCCCATCCTCACCATGCCCACTAACAACGTCCTGTCTTTGCTGCAGAGTAGAACACACATATAAGTGCATCAGTGCTCCAGGTGCCTTCCAGGAACATGAAATGTGCAGCAGGAACAGGGCTCATTTTGTAGTGTCTGGACTCTGCACCCTCCTGGGGAATGCCAGGCTCTCACCTCTCCTTGTTTTCTGTGCTGTTCCAGACATCTTGGAAAGTAGTACTTCAGTGGGTGCAAATAGAAACCATCTCAAACCATAAAGCCTTGATTACTGTAATGGAATCTCAAGGTTCATAGTCCATCTCTCACCCTGTGTTGATGTGGTGATTGGCACAATGGAGCCCAGCTCCCACTCAGCACCTCGATGACTCTGATAGGCACAAGACACAACACTTGGCTTGTGTTCATCTAACTGAACACGTTTTGTTTTTCTTTCTCTTGCAGACTTCATTTTATGGCAGATTCAGGCACTTCTTGGACATCATCGACCCACGCACTCTCTTTGTTACTGAGGTAATGTCTGTGCTCCTTATTTTCTGTCTAGTTCTAGTTATCCACCTGGGTTGGATTAGAAAGTTTCTCCTGTGAACAGCAGGAGGGGCGAAGATGGGTTTGTGATGGATCTGGGTCTCACTGCTGATGGGCTGCCCAGCCCAACCCTATCCATGCCCACTCAGGTCTCTGTTAGCCACCCCTGAGGCCTCTCCCTGTGGATCCACCTGAGCAGCTCTCAGTCAAATCTGCCAGCAGTGTTGGCCTCCCAGGGGGAGAATTCCTATGTGCTTTCATGGAGGGAGAAGAGAAACACGGGTGAGTAAAGGAGGGAGCAAATCCACTGCTAGGTGGGAGCACGCTGCAGTTTTCAATGGCCTCTCCAGTCCTTTCCCAAGGAAGCTGTGTAATAGTTTTTCCTTCTTTATTATCCTGTTTGTAGCAGGCTTGAGAGTTTCTGGCCCGTTTCCATTTATTGTAGTGATGCTGTCCAGCATCATTGCATATCCCTGCTTTCATAAAACACTGAGCTGATTGTGAGGAACCCCTCAGAAGCAATATTTCCTCCGGTGATGTTAAATTCTGCCTGCTGCCAGCATGCTTTTTCTTTCCTTACACTGCTGCAGTGACAGCAGTGGGGAAGAGATCTGATGTGACTTATCATCCTTTTTCCCAAATCAGCAAGCTTTTCTCAAAACCATAAGGCTAGAATGTGCCGTGTGGTTCTGAGTACCTTTTGGATGGGTGCCCAGGAGAGCTGCAGGCAGTAAAGCAGCTGTTTTTACAGTATCAGGCTGAAGGTTGTACTTACAGTTGCAAAAGCTCAAGTTCAGATCAAATAGGAGATGGTTTCTCAAGTCACCACCCTGGATACAGAGCTGTACCTGGGGAGGTGACCTCCTGCCAATAAAACATTGTGATTCCAAATTAGCACCGCTGTGTTGTGATACGTGGGAATGAAAATCCCAGGATCCAGCATGCTCTGCAGGTGCTAGAGCTGCTGTTTACCAAGGGTGCAAGCCCTCAGATCAGAATCAAAGCCAGTTAACTGTGTGTTAAAGGCTTGGTGCTGCTGGTACCTGGGCAGAGGTAAAGGGTTAAGAGCAAAGCTGTGGATTTCTCTGTGTAGCCAAAGCCTGTAGTTGTTTCGGTATATTTTGCAGTCTGCAGCAGCAAGCAGCTCTGCTTCCAGGATAGAAGGCAGGTAGTTTGGATCCTGAAAGATGAACCTTTTTGGTATCACAAGAAATAATGCATTTCTTACTTTCTAGGGGCTGAATAACTCACTGAGGGACGTGGTGGGGCTGGGTTGAGGTTGGACTTAGGGATCTTAAAGTTCCTTTCCAACCTGTATGATTTTGTGATTCTGACTCGACTGCATGCTTTTCTACCTTCCTTTTGTCCCCATTTCAAACTGTGAGAAGTTTTTGAGGGGGTTGGTGTGGTTGGTATGGGGCAATCAGCTGGTGTAACTTAGTTCTTTTAGATACCCACTGATGTGCTGCTGCTTCAGAAAATGAGATACAAGAAATGAGGGGAAAAGCACAGAATGGCAGAATTGTAGGGGTTAAAAGGAAGAAGCTATTCTGGACCCCAGACAGAACATAAGAAAATGACAGAGGTTTGAATCCCTTCTGTGGGGTCTAAAGAGCACAGGTTTGAGATCCACGGGTGTTGGAATGGCTTGGTGGCTGTCCAAGGAAGAAAAGCCTCATGCCCATTTTCTTTGGGAGTTTGAATCAATGACAGTTGATGCTTCAACAGAGCTTCCACAGTGCATTCTGTGACGTGTGTGTGGGCTCTTACTCCTAAGGCAACATCTTGACCAACCTGGGGTCATGGGAAGCAGCACAGAGCTGCTGCCTGTGCTCCGCGTGTCTCATCTTGTGCTCTGAGTACTTTGTGTGTGTGCTGGTGTAGCTGAGTAACTGAAGTGGCAAATTAACATCTAAGAGGGGTTTGCTGGAGGAGCAGCTCCTTCCAGTGACAGATGGCTGCAGCTCTCAGGCCCGAGGTTCTTGAGGAACAAACGCGTCGCTAGCGAACGAAACGCAGAGATAAATGAGCCTCTAATGAGAACAGAGGTTAATCCCATGGAAAATGCTGGGAGATGTGATAATATCCTCTTGTCTTCATCTTTTTTTTTGTTTTAATTGCTGTATGTTGCATCATTGCATCCTACCGGTGGCTGTTTGAGGGAAGGATGAAGCGATTCCTCAGAGGGGGAAGCTAAGTGTAATTAGTATCAATGAGAGTCTTTGCTTAATCGTTTATTTATTTCCAACAGTTGAACACAGTTAAAAACTTCTTTGTCTTTTAGAGGTTCTCAAACATGAATCCTCAAGGGACGCATGCTAAATACAGGCCTATGGTGTGGCAGTGCCTTGTGTCAGCATAACAGGTAACCTCTGAAGAGGTTTTCTCGTGTGCTCATTCACCTCATGCCTTGCTTTCTAATGAAACAATATTTTTCTGTCTGTGTGGCAGCTGCAGATTTGCAAACTTTTCCAATAAGCAGCAAATGTTGTCATTGCAGAGGTGGAGCCCAACAAGTCCCATTGCTGAGACCCATTGCTGAGCCCATGAGCAACCCCTCGGTGGGTGTAATGCCTACTTTCAAAATGTGTGAGGTTAAAATGATTGGAATAATACTTTTAATTGCTCAAGTAATTAAGGTCCTTCGGGGGAAGCAGTAGGGACCAGCAGATATTTTGATAAGGTTGACATATCCCATCTGACATCAGGCTGGACACGCTGTTAGCGCTCTGTGGGAGGCTCCTCATGGAGAAAGCTGTGGACCTGATAATAACTCCAAGCCAAAGTGAAATCAAAATTAAGCTGAGCTCAGATAGGCTGCACGTTATCTGCCTTCATCTCATTGTTCATAGCGTAAAACTACAGAGCGCTGAGCATCTTGCATTCCCATATTTGGGTTTAAAATGGAAGCAGGATTAGATGTATGTTATTTATATGAACGATACCTTCTTACTCAGCAGATTGACTGTCTGTGTTTATTCAGTGTCACATCTGCTGGCTCTACTTGAACAAAAAGTTTCTGGCTCCTGTTGTCTGTCACTGTAGATCCAATACAATAGGGCCAGCTGGAGTCAAGTCTGCCATATGTATCATCCGTAGCGCAGCGCGATGCAATGGGGAGCTGCAGAGTTGCTGATAGCAGAGCACAGCTGGATTCCCCTACCCCACGTTGAATGCATGCTGCTGATGGCCAGGAGAGTCTTGCTTTGGATTCTGTGCCAAGTAAGTCACTGCTGGCCTGAACCTGAGGGCAGTGGAGCTCACAGGCTCATGTGGGGCCAGTGTGGTCTTGAAACACCAACACCAGCTCTGCAGAAGCAAGGTGAGGTGTAAGCTATTCCAAGGTGCCCTGTCTGTGAGTGGATTTTACCTTAGAAGTGCAAAATGTGACTCTTTTTGTTGTCTCTGTAACGTTGTAGTGCTTCTGGCATAATGACTTATTCTGGTCTGTGTGTGCACATATGGAGGCAGCTCTAAGCCATGTGTAGGCAGCCGCTGAGATCCAAGAGAAGAGGAGACACAGATCTTTGAGACTTAAACAGCATGCCCCAGAGCAGAGGGGGCAAGGTGAAGAACCAGTAGGAGGTGTCTGACACAGGTACATGTGTGCAGTTATTCATAGGACCCAATGCAGTCATCCCTACTCTATGTTGATGGCCATCATGGGGTTGGAGTGTCGACGCTATGATGTGGGCTGCTCTCCTGCTGGCATCTTTGCTTTTGGTCTTTCTCCTTTCTTTGGAGCCCTTATGATGGGATCCTTCAACAGCTTTTTCTACAAAGACCATTATTCTCTTCCAGTGTAGACCTGCAAGATTGAGCGACAAGTCATTGCCTGTAGCCCTGAGTCAGAGCAGCACAAGGCGCATTACTTCTCTACACTAAAACCTATGGGTTAAATCTAAGCCAGTTTAACCAGAGTCAGGTACTGGATTTTGGCTGATGTGGCTTGTGCCATGCAGCCAAGTTCTCTTATTCTCCAAAAAGTGCCTCTTGGCAGCACTCCTGGCCCATGGTAGATCCCAAACCATGGCTGGGAGTTGGCTGGGAGCGGGATGGTTGGTTTGAATGAACGCTGTGCCAGAGTTGGTGCTAACATCTTGCCCAGGACCGATGTTTCCAGTTTCTGGCTTATTTAGTAGCACATAAACTATAAAATCCATGCTCATGGATTAGTGGAAGCCCATTGCGTGTTTTCCATGGGCTTGGGTTAGTGCTGGAGCCCAAAAGGCTCTTTATTTTCAGCCGCATTCAGCAGGAAGCAAAGTTTGAGCCCTAATGCAAAGACTCCTTGCGTTGGGTGGTGCTTCCCAGGTGCTTGGGCTGCAGGGAGCACGAGGAATGGGGTTTGTGTGCCCTTGCATCGCTGGGCTCCGTGCATCCCTGGCAGTGCTTCTGGGCTGGGGTTTGTAGGAACATTCCCTGGGTGCAGATGGTCTGTCTAGCACCCTATTGTGAGAGCTGAGACCCTGTAATCCACCACTAGAAGTGCTCTAGTTTTCCTGAGACGATGGGTATGAAAGAAATGCTACATATTAGTAAAAACTGTGGCTGCACTTCTTTTTTTAAGTGATGCTGTAAAAATTCGAGTGACACTTCTTCCTACAGATATCAGTAGAAGAAGCAAGCAACAATAAATATTGAAATGGTAGCATGACCTTGTAGGCAGACCTCTTTTTTTTTCCCCCCCCCTTCTCTCCTGTTAAAAAGGAAATGCTGTGTCATCTTAGACACTACCATCACCCATAATAGTGCTGTGTCGTGCTAGAACCCAGGGAGTGGGGCTGGCTGGCATTTGGAGCTGTTGCATACTGGGAAGTTCCTGGGGGTGGGTTGGTTGGTTGGTTGCTGCTTTTCTCTCTAGAAGGGATTGCAAAGGAATCTTGTGTTGTCACCAACAGCGTTTTGAGTCTGATTCTTTCACTGAAAATACCTGAAGCCCCATGAAAGGGGCACCTTCTTAACGTGGTCCCAGCATCCTCCATTTCTGCTCTCTTTTCATACCAATTTTGGTAAGCCTCAGGAACCATCAGCAATGTCAGCCTGGGACTCTTTGCTTTGTGAAAGTTCCCTCTCTCCCCACTGAGCTGAAAGGGGAAATTCATGAGGACTGCAATTTTCAAAGCGAATTCGGGCTTTTTTGTTTGCTGTTTTTTACCATACTAAACAAGATGGGATCTGGCCAGGGTTGTTATAGTAACTACTAAGATTTCCTCAAGAGAAGGTGGAAAAAAATAGAACACAGACCCATTCATCTATTACTTCCAGTTTTTCATTCAGAGTTACATGCTGTTCTGTGTAGATAATTTGCAAGACACATCGTGTAGGTAATTTCAGTGGCAGAAAAACATAGCAGTAATGAGCACAAATGGCTCTCCAGAACGTGGTGCTGGCATTGCTGGTTTGTTTCCTAGCTTTGGAGGCAAGATGGGTTGCCTGCCCCGGATCTGCAGCCATCGATCCTCCAGCTGTCTCTGGATGATCAGAATATCTAAAATAATCCACAGTGCTATTTTACTGATATATATTTTTTTTTTACCTGAGCTGATATGGTGTTTTGAAAATAACCATGGGTTGATGAGATGAGGAGCTGTTTGGGTAGGATATTAAGAAATGTTTCTGCTTGGAAAGAGTGGCAGTGCTTTGGCATGGGCTGCCCAGGATGTGGGGGTTCACTGTCATTGGAGGTGTCCAAAAACCATGAGATGTGGCACTGAGGGAGGTGGTTATGGGCACATTGAGATGGGTTGGGGTTGGGTTTGATCATCCTAGAGCTCTTTTCCAACCGTAATGATACTACCAAGAGGAAGAAGAGGCTGAAGGAGAAACGTGGCTTCTGCTTGCCTTGTTCCTCCGTTTCACTGTGCGTTGGAGACTGTCTGGATGAGGTGGATGCTTTTCCTTAAAAATATCAAAGCTTTTATTTTACAAATCCTTCTCCCTTTCCTGGGTGAAGGCATGGTGCTCCCAGAGGCTGCTTGTTAGTGAGAAAAGCTTTTGAAGAAGGGGTGAGGTTCTTGCACACCTCATTACTCACTATCAGTACTCTTCATGAAACCTGGAAGAGTGAAACCACCACCATAACAAATAACCCTGGCACGGTTGTCTGACCATCCAAATTCCCCAACGAAATTGGTATTGAACAGCAAAAGAAACTCTTTCCCGTGCTGTTAAAATACAATCTAGATTTGGTGGTCACTGTCTGTCCTTGATGCCCTTTGTGCTCTGACCACTGATCACAGAATCCTAAAATGGCCTGGGTTGCAAAGGACCACAATGCTCATCCAGTTCCAACCCCCTGCTGTGTGCAGGGTCACCAACCAGCAGCCCAGGCTGCCCAGAGCCACATCCAGCCTGGCCCTGAATGCTTCCAGGGATGGGGCATCCACAGCCTCCTTGGGCAACCTGTTCCAGTGCCTCACCACCCTCTGAGTGAAAAACTTCCTCCTCATATCCAACCTAAGCCTCCCCTGTCTCAGTTTAAAACCATTCCCCCTTGTTTCTATCACTATCCACCCTCGTAACCTTTTCCAGTGCTTCACCACCCTCTGTGTGGAAAGCTTCCTCCTAAAATCATTGCAGGGGTTGTGAAATAGCAGCGTTGACATGCATGGTGCTGGTGCTCAGCCCATGTAAATGTGGCTCCAGCTGCCACGTGCTTGTTCTGGGAAGTGAAGGCACTGCTGCCTTTCTGCACTTAAAAATGTATATATATCATGGAATCATAGAATGGCTTGGGTTGGAAGGGACCCAAGGATCATCCAGTTCCAATTCCCCTGCCACGGGCAGGGTTGCTAACCACTATCTACGCATCTATGTGTATATATTTAATACATACATGAAATATATACACACCAACCAACACAGCAAATGCATCTCTTTCTCCTTGAGATCACATATACATGTGTAGGAAGACCTGTCACAGGAAGACTTACATTAATTGCCTTCATAGCTTAAATTTGTTGCCTTCAATGAAAGATTTCAGTGCAGAGCCCTGCTTCATGCTGCTGTTTTGTTTGCAGAGTCGCCTGAAGGAAGCTGTGCAGTTGCTGGAGGATTACAAGCATGGGACTTTGCCCCCAGGAGTCACCAACAAGGAGGTGAGGGGAAAAAGCCTTCCTTGCATTTCTGCTTCTTTGTGCAGTCATCATGCAAAGTGTGCTTGTAGAATTAAAGAGGAAACCTCAAACATGGTTTTGTTTTTTAGGCGAGGGGAACCTTGCTGTCAGGTTTGTTGGTTGATGTACCAGCAGTGATGCATCAGCACCCCCTCCTTCTCTACTGGTTGTAACAGTTGCCTTTTCTTTGCAGAAGTTACTGTTGTTTGGGCTACATAGATCCCTATGGATGTCCTTTCATTATAGAGTATAAGTTCAGCAGTGGTTCTTTTCATTGGATCATGTTCCTGCTCTTGGAATGAAGGCATAGAAGGTATTGACTTGCTGAAGGCAATGCAGAAACCACAGTGATGTGGAGGTCTTAACATGCTTTGGGTTGGTTTTGGTAAAACTTGATTCTGCTTTGGGACAGGGAAATGAGGCGAGTGATTTTTCCAAGGGCCCATCAGTCCCATTTTCTGGATGTGGTACTGATATTTATCTGAATGAATGCACAGAACTAGTGAAAGCATGGGGAAGTGTTGCTGGGGGGGCAGGCTGTTTTTTGTGCCCTTTTCTTCCAGCTCAGTACCATGAAACAGAGCCCACTGGTGTTCCTGTAGATATTATCTCATACTCTAGTCATCTATGTGCTGACCAACACCAGGGGCTTTACTGTGGGTTTTGTTTGTGCATCCTGTACAAGACTTCAGCCCTATGTTGTGTAATATAATACAAAGAATAGCTCAGATTGGTGGCAGGACTGCTTCAGGAGCTGTAAGAAGTGGCTGTGGTGAAGGAGCAGTGCATCTCACACACAGACAGTGATGGAAATGGTTGTGTCCCACACCCCGTGGGTCAAACAACCCCTTTATTTCTTTGAAAGCTCACGTGCCTCATCATATGGATGAGAATTATTCTCAGACAAATGAAGAAAACTTGATATTTTTATTCTAAAAAGCGTCTGCTTGTGTGGTAGGTGCTGCTCTGGGAAAAAAAACAAGCATGGCTTTAAAAAGAGAGGAAAAAAAACAAAGGAAATATCCCCTCCGTGTGCTTGGTGTGGTTTGAGCCATTGCTCACCTGATCCTTTGATGTCACTGCATTCATCCAGCCATAACCTGATGGTAAGAGAAAAGGATCTAGGATTGCAGGGAAGAGAACAGCGAAGAGTGATGCAGCAGCAGATGACTCAGTGCCCATCTGCCTCTAGGCAGATGAAATGAAGTCGTTTGCTGAGGCAAACCACGCAGACATCTGACCTACATTTTGGTCTGTGTTGCAACAAGCCCAGGGTGTCCCCAGAGTTCATTCAGAGTTGTGCTGGGAGGAGCGTAGTTGCTGTGGTTTTTGTTCCCTTAGCTGTGCTTGCTGGAGGGTTTCAGGTGTAAAATTAAGCATGGGGGCAGAGGAGAAAGAGGAAAATGACACCAGAAATGTGTTTTCTAGAGAAATGTTAGCACATCAGCATTAAAAAAATGAATACTTTTTCGTAGCTCAGTTGGATCACGGTGTCGGTTGTGTCGGAGGGCTTTAATAGTGTGGTGCAGATAAGGGGCTCTTCCAGGAGGAGCATGGGGAGGATTGCAATGTTTGCTTGTTGTATTTACCTGCTCTTTGTTGCAAAGAGCAAAGAAACTCACAGGGAGAGGTGAGTGAGCTGCAGGCAGATGCCAGCAGGGCTGTGAAACTGGAATGTTCACCTGTGGCCTTGCAGCCATGCTGCTAAGAGAATCCTTGTAGCCAAGGTGGGAAATACTCATCCTCTCAAGCAGAGCCATATCCAGAAATAAACTCTTCTTATAGGAGGGCATTACATTGCAGTTTTCAGCTGTAGGATGGAGAATTGTAATCAATCATTGCAGGCACAGCTATTTTATACGCATTTCTCTTTGCATCCCAGTGTGCCAGATAGACACAGCTGTAAGCAGCTCGTTAATGCCTGGTGTATCTGCAGATACCATGTGATGGTTGATTGCTCAGGGGGATGGGAAGCATCTCACTTGCTTGGATTTCACCCCCGATTTTCCACCTGTGAACTGAAGATGCCTGGAGAGCTCTGTTTTGCTCACCACACCCTGCATTCTACCATCTTTGTGTCTTCTCTGTGCATCATAACCTGCAGGGTGGGCTCTGGTATCAAGACATTCCCAGTGTGCAGTTGTTTTAGTGCCAGTTTGGGAAGGGGATTTGATGCAGCTCTGGGGTGCTCATGTGAATGTGTTGGTGTTGGAGTGAAGGACTGAGCCAGCTGATCTTTCTATAGCTGAGCACATCAGCCACACTTTTTAGGGCCATGGTTAGTGGGCATGGTGGAGATGGGTCAATGGTTGCTGTCAATAATCTTAGGGGTCTTTTCCAACCTTAACGATGCTATAATTCTCCCTCTGGTCCATTGATGAAATCCATGCGTTGGCAGTAGACCAATAGATGAAAGACAGTTTGATTGTTTTTTTTGACTGAAAGGATTATTATCACTATTTTAAACTCTTGTTTGACCACGAATATTGCTAATGATCTCGTGTTTGCTGTAGGCAAGAAGTGTGTAGTTGGGTTACTTGACCTATCTGACGTTGTGATGCAGTTGCATCTGGGAGAGGCTGATTTGCTGTTACGGTTGTGTAGTCCAAAAGGCTGAGCAGAGCTTCATGTGATGCTCAAGAGAGGAGCATTCAACTTCATCATTATTTGAGAGCTGACCTAGAAGATTTGGTTGCTCAAATCCTTTAGAGATGGAGTTGCTACCCTCACAGTGGGCTCTGCAGAATGGGATGGGAATGGTGTATGGGTAGAAGCTTGAATGGGCTTCCGGGCTTCATAACCAGAATTAAAATCACCATCCCCTTACAAGCCTTTAAAATAAGAGTTTGAGCACACTTCTAATGTAGCATCTTTCTGAAGAACCCAACAACCTCCCTTAAATATCAGCTTTGAGATCAAGCAGACAAGTTGTTTTGACAGAGTTGCTTCACTAATCCGACTGATCCGCTTTGTGGCACGGCGCGTTTGGCAGTGCTCAGGCTCCTTTTTCCTCTCATTGAGAAATTCGTGGCTCTCATGAAGGATGGCAGGCAGTAGCTGAAAAGCATAACAACAGCTCAGCACAATCTACATTGCTTGCTGAGATGGATTCACTGCCTGAAAAATGTAGAAGCCTAAAGCTATGTAACGTCAAGTATCTCCTCAACGCTTATCTTCTTGACAGGGTTCCTGCAGAGTGAGTCTTCCTCTTCTGCACTTCCAGAGCAGGTTTTTCAAAATGAGCTGAAATGGAACATTTATGGCCTATCTAAAGGAAAAAAAAAACCCACCAAAGTACTGAAAAGCCATAATCTTACTTTGCTCCAGCTCTGGGCAACCCAAAATCCGGCATCTCTTCTGCTTACTCTTAAACTGGAGTCATTTCACTGCTTGGGATCGTGACCAGTAACTCAAGGTGGTAAAAACCTATTTCTTGGGCATCATTAGCACAAATGAAGAATTGATCAATAGCTGCTAGACTGCTAATAGTTTTTATTGAGGGGAAAATGGGGTTTTTTTTGTTCTCTTTTAGAAGAATGTTTTTAAAAAGGTGGAGTTGGACACAGTGATCCTTATGGGTCCCTCCCAATGGGATATGCTATGACTTGCTGTGGCTGCTATCTCAGTTATGTATTCAGTAGAACTGAGGATGATTAACTGATTGATAATTATTAGTGTTGTAGATTCAAGCAAGAAAACGTGCTCTAAACTCTTTCTCTTCAACTTAGCTTATTTACCTAAGTTTTTCTTTGCTTGCTTGGTGGCCAGACTTGGTTTTGCTTAGATAGTTAGTCAGATTTGTCATCTGTGGGTTTAATAACCTGGCTATTTGGTGCTGTTGGGCAACCAGATGTCTTGATGCCCATCATTTGTTGCCTGTTTTGGAAGAGCCCAGTGGTGCATCACCCAATGGTGTGTACCTGATGGCGTGCTGCTACTCCTTGGTGTCCCACTTCAGCTTCTTCAGATGGGACCAGCTGACGACCAGTAGGATCCTCAGAGAAGGGAGGAATGGAGATGTATGGGATTTGTGTGGATGAGAGAGACCAGTACAGCTGCCCTACCTTTCTCAGCTCTGGATTGGTTGGATGGTCACAGCAAGAGGGTTGTTGTCAGTGGCTCTGTGTGCAGATGGTGGTGAGTGATATCCTCTGGTGGTCTGTCTTGGGGCTGGTGCTCTTCAACATCTGTATGAATGACATAGGCAGTGGGATTGAGTGCATTCTCAGCAGTTGATACAGCAGAAGGAAAGGTCACCATCCAGAGAGACCTGGACAGGCTGGAAAAGTGGAGCCACGTGAACTTCATGAGGTTCAACAAGGCTGAGTGCAAGGTGCTGCACTTGGGTTGGGGCAACCCCAGATATGTGGAGAGCCTGGGAGAAGAGCTCCTTGATAGCAGCCCTGTAGAGAAGGGCTTGGGACTCCTGATGGACAAAAAGCTCCACACAAAGGAGGAAGCTTTTTGTTCAGAGGGTGGTGACACACTGAACACGTTGCCTAGGGAGGCTGTGGATGCCTCATCCCTGGAGGCATTCAAGGCCAGGCTGGATGTGGCTCTGGGCAGCCTGGGCTGCTGGTTGGTGACCCTGCACATAGCAGGGGGTTGAAACCAGGTGATCATTGTGGTCCTTTTCAACCCAGGCCGTTGTATGATACTGTGATGCTTCTATGAGCCAGCAGGGTGGTGAGACCCTGGCACTGCTGCCCAGAGGGCTGTGGATGTTCCATCCCTGGAGGTGCCCAGTGCCGTAGATGGAGCTCTGGGCAACCTGAGCTGGTAGAGAGCACCAACCTTGCAGCAGGAGTGGGGCTGTTTGGGTTATGGTGTCCATTCCAATCCAACCATTCTATGATTCTATTGCTTCTTCATCTCTCTGGTGTGCGCTTCAGCACTTTGTGCTCCTCATTTTGGTGATCTCTCACTGCACTTAAGTGAAGTTTCAGCTTGTGTTCCTTACAGTGCTCTGCAGCAAGAGAGCC